ACCCCATTCCAGACAATTTTTGTGGGTTTTTTTTAAAAGAGGGGGCACTTTACCATTGAGCCTTGTTATTATTTTTTTTAAGAGAGAGGAGAGAGAGAGAATTTTTAATATTTTAATATTTATTTATTTTAATATTTATTTTTTAGTTCTCGGCGGACACAACATCTTTGTTGGTATGTGGTGCTGAGGATCGAACCCGGGCCGCGCGCATGCCTGGCGAGCGCGCTACCGCTTGAGCCACATCCCCAGCCCAGAGCCTTGTTATTTTTTGAGACGGGCCTTGCTGAGTTGCTGGGGCTATGTTGAACTTATGATTCTCCTGCCTGAATCTCTTAAGTCTCTGGGATTACAAGTGTGCGCCACTGTGCCCAACCCCAGACAGTCTTGATTTAGTCAACTTGTTACCTCTGAAGCCATGATCTCAGTGTTTGCAATCAAATGATAGCAGCTCAGTTGCTCATGTTGCAGAAAAAATATGTCTAGAACTATTTTGGTGATTTGGGGATCCTTGTTTTTGTGGCAAAACACTATGGAATCTCAATAATCTAATATGAATTTTTCAACTAAGTTTCCTCCTAACAGCATTCCAAAACAAGCATTCCTATACACCTACTATAGTTCCAAAATCTATTTAGACAAGTCACACCTCTCACTGAGTGGGCTAGGAAAAGGAGCACTTTTTGGATTCCTTTTAAGATTTAAAGATTTGCGTACCTACTGGTATATTAATCGTATAGAGACAGGAGAGAAAAATGAAGCCTCACTCTGGGTACCCAGAGCTTTATCTGAAGAGCTGTGAGAAAAACAGAGCTGAGAAGTAGAGTTAGAGAGGATGAGAAACCCCATTCCAGACAGTTTTTGTGGGTTTTTTTTTTTTTTTTTTTTTTGAGGGGGCACTTTACCATTGAGCCTTGTTATTTTTTGAGTCGGTGAGTGATTCTTATTTTGTTGTTGTCTTTCTTTCCTTTTTTAATTTTAAAGATAATTTTTTTCACTAACCCCCCCAAACAACTACCCACCTATTCTACGAGCTGCAGATTGAGCATTCTCATAACCACCTATGAGTCAAAGCAACCTTTCATTCTTGTTGTAAATAAAAACATGAACCCTGTTCCTGCATGTTCTTCATAGGCTGTCTGTCTCCCCAGCACTTCCCTCTACTGCCAAGGAATGCACAGAGCATCTGAGTCAGCAGTCAGCTGCCAGAGACAAAACATGCAGGGTATTGTCAACTGGCAGTCTCACAGATGCTCTGGAAACCTGGCATCACTGTTTCTTCCTTTTTCCCCCTTCAGACTCCTCACTTCCCTTGCCTTTTTCTTTTCATACCTTGATTTTTCTGTCCCCAGAATTTCAAGTACCTTCCTGCCAGGTTTCCTGGTCCCTAATGTTCCTGTAATTGTGAATGTTGATTTTTCCCGACACTTGGATGGGTGGTCAAGGAGAAGTCAGGGGGAGCATGAGTTGGCTTTGACATTCAGGAATGAGGGGAAATGGGTTGGTTACGGGAATGGCTCTTCTGCCATTCTGCCTGGCTTTTCAGAGCAAGTCAGAATGCAAGGTAAGTCCTCTTGGAAATGAGACAGTCCCAGTGCAACAGAGCCACAGAATAATGGTGTGGTACTCTAGATTTGTCTTCCAACTCCAGTGATCTGGCTCACAAAGAAGGAAAAGTAAGGCAGCCCAAGGGACTCAGTCTCGTGTAGTCTTACCTTGAATGCCTGTTGCATTGTTCCAGGAACCAACCTGCTTCTGTTTATCTGCTGTCATTAGTCCCTGCAGGTCATGATCCTTTAGCCTGGGCACCTAATACTTGTCTGCTGCCCACAAGCAGGTACTCTGCAGCTGAAACCTGTTAATTTAAAGGTGCATTGCAGCACCTTTAAATTTCCAGCTACAAAAAATTGAGGCTGATTATTAAACAAGGTGTGCATCTGCTGTGGAACTTGATTTGGATCTTCTCTGTAGTGGTTAGTAGCTCTTGGCAAGTGAATATTTATTTCAGAATGGGCTACAACCAGCCAGTGGGATGGTAGCCCATACATCAGAACTGTTCTTCGAACACAAATGCCCAAGACACTCATGAGGGAGAGATAGGAGCACAAAGCAGGTGTTATGACCAGGGAAAGGATTTTGCAGATATCTGGTGTGGGGTTTTAATGTGTTAAATTCAACAAGAGAATAGTGGTATTCTCAGTGCTCCAAGTTCTGGCAAGAAGTAGAAGGTGGCTGCTGGTAGGGAACAAAGACAAATTATTTTCTCCCTTGACGAAAATATATCACACATGTACAGTGGGTTCAAATCTTGCAAACATTTCATTGTGACTGGCAAAATCAAGGTTGGTTGTGAACACAGGTAGGATATTTGGATCCAGGACAGCACAGTGCTGTCTGCTCACTGAAAAGCAAGTAAAATTGCAGATTCCCTACATAGAAGGCAAGATGCAGTGTAGCAAATGCTATCTGAGGTCTTTGTTTCCGGTTGTTGGTTATTACCTGTTGTAGTCTTTCTTCTGCTGTTGCATAAGCACATCTGGTTTTTTTTGTTTGTTTGTTTGTGTGTTTTTTTGTTTTTTTTTTTTTTACCCCTACTAGCTGTCTTTTAACTACCTGTCTTTTTAAGGTAAGTCTTGGCTTGTAAGAAAAAGAATGAACTCTTCTTAGGAACTTTAAGATGTTTTTCTTGCTACTACCTAAATCAAATCCTTTATTTAGGGAAACTGAAGGCTAGTTTCCATTAATCTTATTTATTTATTCATCTATTTGTTTTTTTTGTTTATTGTGGTGCTGGGGAGGGAACCAACTTGCTCATGCGTGCTGGGCAAACACTCAATCACTGAGCTATTCCCAGCCCCCGAATTCCATTTCTTGCCGAACTCTTGCCCACATGGATATTAGAACAAGCAGTATGTGTAGTTCTTAATATCCAGAGCCAGGAGAGGCTGTTGAGTAAGTAACATTTTTTAAGGTGAGAAGCCGAATTAGTATATTTCAGATGATGAATTAATCATCTTCCACTCGTCCTCCACAGTAGTAGAGAAGTATTGAGCTGTTGACATGAAAACGTGAAAGGGAAAGACAGTTCCTGTAGCTATGACTTTCTTTCATGAAGCTTAAGACACATTTCTAAGTGATTTGGTTTAATCATATGATATCATGGTGAGGTATGGAGAAAAACAGCAATATTTCTCCTTCATAATGGGAAGAGCTTCCCAACAGAACCTTGTGAAACTTGACACCGTTCTCTGAGAATTGATTGTATCAGCACCTGCAGCTTGGTAGCTCTCTTACATTATATCAGTAAATAGAAGGCCACTTCTTCCTTCTTTCCCCTCCCGAGGACAGCACACGAATAACTCCCTTCATCTTCTCCTATCCCCAAGAGTAAATCTTCCAAAGTTCCGAGCCAGTCATGTTTGTCATACTAGTGGTAAATTGGAGATGTGCTTATGATGTACCTTCTGATTGAATAATGTTGGATTCAATTTGCTGATCTTATCTTCAGGATTTTTATGTCTATGTATGAGAGATTATTTATTCAATTTCTTTAATAGATATAGGCCTGTTTAGATTGTCTATTATTTTTGTGTGAGTTTTGGCAGATTGTGTTTTTCATGGAATTGATAAGCACCAGGAACAAGTTTTATGACCAGGAGAATTTCTTTAACACAAGGCTCAGAGAACTTCAGAATTGGGAGAGAGTTGTAGAAGTCATCAATCATTCCTTATTGTCTTCCACAACAACAACAACAACAACAAAATCAGTTTTATGAGGCAAAGTGACTTCCAGGGTCATGCAGCCTGTGCAGGCACATGTGGCTCAGGGTGGTGCCCTACAGTCACCCGGTCCTACATTCTTCATATGGCTTAGTTTGGCCCTTTGCCACCTACCTCCAAATAATGGTTATAATAGTGATAATAAATAAAATGTGGTACAAAGGTGATGAGACAGATGCCAGAGAGAACGTAGATGAAGAAACACATGAGGTGCTATCTTCGGCCTTTAAGCCTCTTTACAGCAGACACATAGAATGGCAAATGTGTTCATGCTTTGATAAGTGGAAGATATAGATGGCATCATTGTTATTGTTAAATATGATTATGGGCAAAATGGGGTGGCTCTACAATCTCCCCGTCCTGCCATGTACCACACACAGAAGACTTCTCAAGTCTTTTAAATCTCTGCTGATACTACCACATCTGAACTTCCTGCTTCTTAGAACTTCTATGACACTATCCTTTTTCTGTGTTTCTCATAATCTTTTCTAGTGGGATGGACTTTCTGCCAGCCTCTTCTTGCAGGTTTGTTCTTCCTAGAGCACATGTAAAGCCATGGCTTTTTTCAGTTCCACTACCTCTGTACACTAAGGACTCCCAAACCTGGTCTGCATCTCTAAGGACTCCCTTGAACTTCACATTCATACTTCACTGCCTAGTATATGGCTATATTTTCCCCTAAGTAGCTCAGATGCGACAGATTGAAAAGGGAGTTTACTACCCCTGTTCACAAATGGGTGCTTTTATTTTTAATTCATTGCCTTGCTATCATGATTTCTCAGTGACCCAAGATAGAAATCTGGGAATCATTTTTAACACTTTGATCTTCATCAGTCCCTCAGAGGACTGTCTGTGTTTTACTTTATTTCTCACATACTACACTTATTATGTGGCTAACTGTACTTACCCTGAAGACTCTGCTGTCATGTCTTAGAGGTTCATCTTTAATAAGGACCCTGCCTCCCTGAGATTTAGGTACTCTTCCTTATTCCTCTCTCTCTATTGGTACACTGTATCATTCAGTTTATGTGCTTGTCATTCACTAGACTATAAAATCCTTGAAAACAAAGGCTGTCTTACTCATCTTTCCACCTCAGTATCTTGGATGGTCCCTGGAGCATTTCAGTATGCATTTGTTGAATGAATGTGTTATTACTTGAGGTCTCTGCTTCAGAAAGATCAATTGTAGAAATACTGACCATTTCTTTCTTTCTTTTCGTTAGATTAAGGTGACAGTGTCAGGTGGATCAACTGCCATCCCACTGCCCCCTCTGTTGGGCAGTGCTGAGAGTGGGGAAGCATGGAAGAGAAGAAGCATGAGACCACGAACCAAGCTCATGTCCTCTTTGACCGGTTTGTCCAAGCCACTACCTGCAAGGGAACCCTCAAGGCCTTTCAAGAACTCTGTGACCACCTGGAACTGAAGCCTAAAGACTACCGTTCCTTCTATCACAAGCTCAAGTCCAAGCTTAACTACTGGAAAGCCAAAGCTCTCTGGGCAAAGTTGGACAAACGGGGCAGTCACAAAGACTATAAAAAGGGAAAAGCATGCACTAACACTAAGGTAAGGGCTTAACTATTCTCAGACTCTAAGGTCACTGACATGAGAGTTTAACTAGGTACCAATTAGAAGAATTGAATAGAGATGGACTGGGTAAGATTGCCAGGCTAGGTTGATGCCAGGCAGATTCTAGCATCATTGTGTGTAAATATACTACATTTTGTGTAAATATACTACATTTTCTTCGTCCATTCGTTACCTAAAAAATTAAGCTTATAATCTGTTGAAACTTTGCAAATCCATTACCCATGCTCATTTTTTTCTTTCCTTTTTTTTAAAAAAAATTTATTGGTTCTTTTTAGTTATATATAATAGCAGAATCCATTTTGATATATAAGCACGGAATATATCTTATTCTAGTTAGGATCTCATGGATGTATGTGATGATAGGATTCACTATTCACTGTAATGTTTTCATATATGTACATGGGGAAATAATGTCAAATTTATTTCACTGTCTTTCCTTTTCTTATCCCCCACCCTCCATTCTCCATTGTCTAATCTACTGCACTTTTGTTCTTCCCCTCACCCCATCCCCTTATTGTGGGTTAGCTTTCACATATCAGAAAACATTTGACCTTTGGATTTTTAGGACTGGCTTTAGGACTGGCATGGTTGTCTCCAGATTCATCTATTTGCTGGCAAATGTCATAAAGTCATTCTTCTTTATGGCTGAGTAATACTCCATTGTGTGTAAATATACTACATTTTCTTTGTCCATTCATCTGTTGAAAGATTGACTGTTTCATGTGCCAGACCCTTTTCTGAACATATTTCATGTATTTTCATATTGGACATTCAAACTCTCAACTTTTTAAGAACAACCCTGAAATCAAGCTTTGCATTTTGCTGAAGTTTCATTTTGAACCTCACCATCTTAGGAGGATGCAGATCATTTAGCAAGGTCCTGGATAGGTTAAGAGTCTTGTCTATGCATAACTTCATAGTTCTTGACATGTCATCTTTATAAAACCATAACTCTGTACTCAACTTCAGTTTGCCCTTTTGTGGATAACTAGAGACCCATCCCAGTGGATTTACATTTGAATAGATATCATCAATAATATTCAAGAAATTCAAAAGAAAACTTTCGTGAGCACTGGACTTTATTAAGAATGAAAGGAACTCAAAGTCAAATGTGTTGCACAGCTTTCTTCTGAGCATGCAGTACAAACTAATTAAGATCTTTGTTTAGCCTCACGCTGAGTATTTCTCTAGAGTATTGATTTTCAAGAGCATTTCCCTGGACTTTCAGTTTAGAAATGATGGTTTTACATCTCTTTTAGCACATAAAGTTTTGGCTTTTGAAAGTGGCCTCCAGAGAATTATCTGTGTGGTAAATCCATTCCAGGACTCTGAAGATTTCTTGAACCATAATAATCTCTACCTCCCTGGACAGAAATCTGCTGAACATAGAAGACTTTCAAAAGGTCCTCTCCTGTCAGTGAAAGATTAGATGTGATTTTCATATTGTTTATTGAAATGATTACCCCTTTAAATATGTTACAGATATGTGGGCCTTACAGGCTGACCAAGATGAACATGTGCTTGGTTCACAAGTTCAGTCTTTCCCATTCATAGCAACCACAGCTCTTCTTTCAAACTCTGCTGTGACCCAGACAGGTTTGAAGTTTTTTTGGTAATGGGGAGAATAGCCTTCACTGAGGTTTACAGGAATGATGGTTATGAGATTATAAAATATCTCTAGAAATATGTTTTAAGAGTCACAAACTTTGCCTTAAAGCAGCTGTGTTTTGCAGTGTCTCATCATTGGAGCTGGCCCCTGTGGTCTCCGCACAGCCATTGATTTATCCTTATTGGGAGCTAAGGTGGTGGTTATTGAGAAGCGAGATGCCTTTTCCCGCAACAATGTCTTACATCTCTGGCCCTTCACCATACATGATCTTCGAGGTCTGGGTGCCAAGAAGTTCTATGGCAAGTTCTGTGCTGGAGCCATCGATCATATCAGTGAGTAACACCAGCTGCTGTAGGATTCCAACCCTTCTCCCGCCCACTTTTCAGTAGACAGAGACAGGTAGGTTATCTGAGGAATTCCTGCTCAATAGCATAATTTGTTCCGATCTCATTGATATCTATCATGTAGCAAGCATTCCCTATTTTGAGTCAAAATATTTGCCTCTTGTAGTTCTATAACCTAGAACTTTGAACTACAATGTTTGCCCTATGCAAGGAGGAGGAGTCTGGCTTAAGGATGTCTGAGGTAGGTCTTGGACTATTACTGAATACTTGCAGTGTGTGAGATAGGCAGAGGGGCTAGACTTTTGGAAACCGGTGACCAATTTGGGCCTCAATCCTTTGGTGGTTCTTAGAGTAGTAGAAGAAGTACATAGGCTGTGGCTCTCTGCAGTGTAATCTTTCACATGCTAAACATAAGACGAACATGCTACAGGGATACAATCCTTACACAGGGCAGAGTTCTAGGTTGGTCATGAATGACAAGTCAGTAGTGGAATTCCTCAGGTTAGGTGATTCTCACAAAGTCTACAGCCAGAATAGCTCTTGGCATTCTCTTGTCAATCTTCAAACTCATTTGGAGTCTCTGTATTTTTGAAACAGGTAAATACAAGTTAATGCAGTTGATTATTCATGCCTGTAAGTGGCCTATCTGAAAACCGATTCCGAACAGAAATTGTCTGCATTATGAAGTTGAAATCCTCTATTTAAAAATTGGTTATCACTAAAGAGTCCAGGGAAACTTTATCAAAGAAACTTTGGTCTGAGTACCAGACTTTTTGCTGTTTGAAGTGGTTGTGCCAATTTATCAAACACTGGCTAACAACTTCTACTTCCCTGACAGAAGTGCTTGGAACAATAGTTATCTGCAAAAATAAAACGTGTGCTAGCATGAGACTTAATAAGTCTTTGGGAGTGTGACTCAGAGGGTGATAGTTGTGGTAAGCTAAGGAAAATAACCAGGATGGCTTAGCAGTGGACTTGCATGTGCTTCTAACAGATTAGTCACAGATTGAAGGTAAGTTTGGCTTTGAGGGATGACTGAGGGTCATGGATGGAGTGGACTTGTCTCCCAGTGATTATGAGTTGGCAGAATTATTTGGGGACTGAGAGAGTCTTAGATCTGCAACTAGATTTCTATCTTTGTATACCTAGTATTGCTGCCACAACTGGCACTGGGTAGGAACTTTGGGCATCAAATAGTATATAAATCTCACCTTGATAATGAGTGGGATTTTCAATTATTTGGGGCCTCAGTTGCCACAACTGTAAATAAATTGGGGTTTTGTTAAGAGGATAAGGTTGAATTGTGATTTCTTTTACCTGCTGAGAGAATGTGAAGGTCAATGAGATAATAAGAGTAGAAGGTAGATGCCATGGATATTTCAGAAAACAATACAGTGGCTCCCTATCAAGCTGCGAAAAGTGTACTCCTGAGTGTACTCCTGTGTCCTGTGGTAGGTCCCATTACAACTATAGATACTACCGAGAATAGCGTCTCTGACACATCAGGGGAAGCTAGAAAGGAGAGTCTCCTGTTGGCCACAGTCTCATGCTGTCTCCAAGTTTTCTATTGTTTAGAATACCTAACTCAAAGATGTAGGTGGCCTTTAAAGTCTCTAGAGCATCTCTTCCACTGGTTGGTATTTACCCTTAAAAAGAAAGAAGTTAGAGAACATGGCATAGAAAATGTCTCCTGCTCCAAAAGACTTTGGAGAACCTGAATAGACTATGCATAGGTGAAAGGGTGGAAGGGAACATGAGGAGCAACTACTGGTGTGTTCTTTCTTCTCTGTGTGCTCTTGCAAACATGTAGTCTTTGTATTTACCCAGGTATACGTCAACTCCAACTAATACTTTTGAAAGTAGCCTTGATCCTAGGCATCGAAATACATGTCAATGTAGAATTCCAAGGACTTGTACAGCCTCCTGAGGATCAAGAAAACGAACGTAAGTTGAATTGGACAAATGAAGAAAGCTTAAAATGGCATTTAAAGGATGAGAACAGATGAGGTAAAAGGAGAACATGGGAATAATCTGCCAGTGTTTTTCAGAACTAGTTAAAGGGATTTCTTTGTGTACTCTGTGCCTTTGAAGTTTACTGTTAAAGTTGAATAAGGAGGCCTTTTGTTAAAATTTTTGAATTTATTCTAATCAGTTATACATAACAGCAGAATGTTCTTCGATTCATTATACACAAATGGAGCACAGTTTTTCACTTCTCTCGTTGTACACAAAGTAGAGTCACACCATTCATGCAATCATACACGTACCTAGGATAATGATGTCCGTCTCCTTCCACCGTCTTTCCTATCTCCATGCCCCCCGACCCTTTACCCAATCCAAAGTTCATGAGGAGGCCTTTGACTTAGTCATTGCAGGCACTTGTACTATAGAAAAATCATATGGTGGGGAAAGTCCCTTTGTAAGTTCTCTTCGGAGCTTCTTTCTATCTGAAGTTTATACTCCATACTTTTCTATTTATTGTTTTTAGCTTGGAGTTTTGTGCATTCTGTATGCCTGGGTATCTAGAGATGATCTTAGAGATATGAATTTGGTCTGAGTAATGATCTTAATTTTGCATTTGGTCCACAGGGATAGGTTGGCGGGCACTGGTGCACCCCAAAACTCATCCTGTATCAGAGTATGAATTTGAAGTGATCATTGGTGGGGATGGCCGTAGAAACACCTTGGAAGGTATTGGCTTGTGCTCTACTTACTCTCTTCAGAGAAGAATAGAGGCTGACCTTGTCCCCAAGAGTCCATGTTCCTGAGAATTTGCACATATGCTATCTTTTATTTTCGGGGGCAGAGGTACTGAGGATTGAACCCAGTGCACTTTTTCACTGAGCTACATCCTCAGTCTGTTTTTTAATTTTTATTTTGAAACAAAGTCTTGCTAAACTGTGGAGGCTGGCCTCCAACTTTCAATCTTTCTGCCTCAGCCTCCCAAGTCTCAGAGATAACTGATACTTTGCCTTGCTGGGTTCCCTATTTGAATTGCATGGCATCTCAGCTTTCTTCCAGACAGTGCTCACTCTGAGTATATTTTACAGGGTGCTCTTGTTAAGTACCTTGTTAAAGTACTAAGAGATGAGATATACTTTTTTAAAAATATTTTTTTCAGTTGTAGATGGATATAATAGTTTTATTTGTTTTTATGTGGTGCTGAGGATCAAACCCAGTGCCTCACAGCGCAAGGCAAGCCCTCCACCACTGAGCTACAGCCCCAGCCCAAGATATACTTTTTGGGAATTGACAATGTAGAATGTAATTTAAGTCAGCACACCTGTTCCCCTTTTTAAATGGAATCCCTAGTACTGAATAGTATTCTGTTCAGTCAGATTTCAGATTGTTTATTAATGATGTGGGAGACCTGCCCTAAAAATTTTTCATTGAGTTTCATTCTCCACATTTTCCCTAATGTCTTCATCAACACCCTCCTCATTTGAAGTGATCATCTTTCTTCTCTAGCCAATTGCCACCTATGAAAACTTTTTTCCCTCCAGGATTTCGCCGGAAAGAATTTCGTGGCAAACTGGCTATTGCCATTACAGCAAATTTTATTAACCGAAATACAACAGCAGAAGCCAAAGTGGAAGAGATCAGTGGTGTGGCTTTCATATTTAACCAAAAATTTTTCCAGGAGCTACGAGAAGCCACAGGTTGGTATAGATTCCTCCAAAGTAATAAGGTTAAACATTGAAATAGTTACTTATTACTTTTTTTCTTGGGGGTTTGATAGGGTGGATGGTGCTTGTTATTACTGTTATATGTCATTTGTCCTGCTTTTTCTTCACTCCTGTGCTTTGTTCTTAGCTTAATGGTTCCATATCATTCTGTTTCCTGCTCTAGCATTATCAGTCTTTAGCACAGTGGCTAGGCTGCTCTAGATTTTGTTTTTATTTATTGTTTTGTTTTAAAGTATTCATTCTGCTTTCTACCAACTCATCCCCAATCCCTTATTTCTACATTGTGATGCTAAGTTATGGCACTAGATATAGCAAACTGCCAGTTAGTAGCTCTCTGGTTTTATTGAGAACCTAACAGATATTAAGTATGCAGTCTTCTTCCTGAGTTCATTTGAAYTTGAAAGCAAACCATGTGACAGATAGGAATGACATTGTTGTATGATGGCTTTTGAATAGATGTATTTTGCTGCAACAAAAAAAATATGTATTTTATTCTCTATTTTCTTTTTTTTTTTAGAACTTTTTTTAATATTTATTTTTCAGTTTTCGGTGGATACAACATCTTATTTTATTTTTATGTGGTGCTGAGGATGTGGCTCAAGCAGTAATGCGCTGGCCTGGCACGTGTGGGGCCCTGGGTTCAAACCTCAGCACCACATAAAAATAAAATAAGATGTTATTCTCTATTTTCTAGACTTGATTTCATTGCCTTTGTTTTTTAGATGAATAGAATTAAAAAGACAATAGCTCATTCTCTACTTCCAGGCATCTACCCTGTTTTTGTTTTTGTTTTGGTACCAGGGATTGAACCCAAGGGCACTTAACCACTGAGCCACATCACCACCACTTCCCCTTTTAAAAAAAAAAAAAATTTACCTTTATTTTTATTTATTTATTTTTATGTGGTGCTGAGGATCGAACCCAGTGCCTCACACATGCTAGGCGAGCGCTCAACTGCTGAGCCACAACCCCAGCTGCCCCCAAAGACTTTCTTATTTTTTATTTTGTGACAAGGTCTCACTTGGTTGCTCACAGCCTAAGTTACTTTGAACCTGTAATCTTCCTGCCTCAACCTCCTGAGCTGCTAGGATTACAGGTGTATGCAACCATGCCCAGTTTATGAGATTTCTCTAGTTCTCTAGCTTCCTTGATGACTCAAAGAGGTTTAATCTGTTAACTAAGCCATACCCTCTTGTAAGGATTATCCTCTTTTTTGTTTTTCCAATTCTTATGTTTGGGTTAACTTTTGGTCATTGTTTTCAGAATAACTTAAGGTGAATTAAGAATAGTACAGAGGGAAACAAAGCTCCCCTTATTTTCATGAACTGAATAGGCAGGAAGAGAGAATCTGGACCTAAACATCTTCCTGCTTGGAATTTTATGATCCTGTCTTAGATAGACCCAAGTAGTCTCTCTGGCTGCCCTACTCAGCAAACTCCTATGTATGTTTGTTTTCTGGTTGCAGGTATTGATTTGGAGAACATCGTCTACTACAAAGATGACACGCACTATTTCGTTATGACAGCCAAAAAGCAGAGTTTACTGGACAAAGGGGTGATACTGCATGTGAGCAATGGATCTCTTTCAAACCACTTTTGTTGAATTTGTTAATATGATCACCAAGAGAAAGGGCTTTATTGCCTGATAGGATTTTTCTACAAGGGAATAAAGATGAGCATTGAACACATCTCCTCAAATCACTGATGGTTTTTAGTTTAACTTTGAAAAAAATATTTTCATTATGGAAAATTGTTAATTTAACAGAAATAGGGAGAATAGTATAATGAACTTTTATGCCCATTCTTTAGCTTGAGCAGTTATTAACATGGCCAATGTTGTTTCAATAAAACCCCACTCCACTCACCTCTCCTGCCATTGTATTGTTTCAAAGCAAATGTCAAGAATCATTTCTTGCATAAATAGTTTAATTTTAGGTGACTTTGTTTGAGATTATAATGAATTTCATATATGACCAATTATTGGTTGGTCAGTAGATCTTTTTTTGGGAGGGAAGTGATAGAGGGAAGAGAGTTCAATCAAGAAGCAATGCTTGGTGCTTATGACAGCCTGATTATGGCTCTGGTTTTACTGTGGCAACACTGAATTGGTATATTTAGGCTTTGTTCACACTGAACAACAAGGGCCTAATGTCCATCTTTAGCCAGCCTTTTTTTTTTTTCTTTTTTTTTGTGCAAAACTAATTGTGTGGAGATAATCTGAAATCAGAGAGTTGCAAGGTGGATGGTTTCTTAAGGAAAGTGTCTTAAATCTTAGTTGGTCTCATTGGTCTGAATATGAGAATTACTTCCCCTGTGTGATGAAACAGAAGCAAATAAACACCAGAGGTGTTGATTTAGGCTTGTACAATTCCCACCAGACTCAAAGCTGAATCTCAGGGAGCCCTTTGTCTTTGTAGAATGATAATGAATCAAGTCCTTTTAGTCTGAGTCACACTATTGCCATATTGAGACCAAATGGAGAATGAGTTGATGAGCACATGCTTGCAGCACAAAGTCTCCTTTCCACCCATGAACCTTGTGTCTGTTTCTCAGCATAGCAGTCCTGTGTATATGCAGGGAGAAACAGGACAAAGCAGTTTGTATAGCCCATTCTGCCAAAGCAGAAGCAAGACATACTTGGCTGGATGCTTTATAAAGTGTTCATTATCTGGGGCTATTTTATTGTTATCAATAAGAACTAGCCAGTAAAGCAGTTGGGATGCCTGGGACTAAGTTAAGACTTAAGTTTACCATCTGGGCAGAACTGTGGTTGTCAGTCAAAAATAGATAAGAGCAATCTAGACTGTTAATTAAGATCTGTTTTACTTTTTGTTTTCATTTTTTATAGGGCAGGAGCTGTGCCTTCTGTGAGTGCTGTTTATAAACTAAACCCATTGTAGCCATTTAATGTTGAACAAGCAGTATTTCTAGAACCAACCTGAGTGTGTTTTGACTTCTGACATCTTATAGTTGTAGCTGAAAGTACCATCAGTAATACTTGGAAACTGAGTCTCCACTTCAGGAGAACAGAGACTTGGCTCAGTGTGCAGGAACCTCCAAAGAAGAAAAGGAACTTTTTAGTCTCTTACTTAAAGCTCTTTTTCTCTCATTTTTGTTTTTTCCTGTTGGTGATTTTCTGTAGAGCCTTACAGAATCTTATATATGATTTTGAAAACCTGTGTTCCATTTTCAGTTCATTCCTTCCCGTCCTCCTCAGCTACTAACGCTCCTAGCACCACATCTCTTTGGCACTGAAGTTTTCAGGTTCTTCCTTTAAGCATGATGAGCTATGCAAGTCTGGGTTCCCAGCTGAAAAAAAGCTGTTTGCTATTCAAAAGATAATGATTATAGAAGATAACATAAACTATTAAATACTTCTTCAGCTTACAGAAATTATTTAATTTGTTATTCAGAACAACTCTGTGAGGTAGGTAAGCCAGGATCAGAGGAGTAGCGACTTGCTCCAAGCAAATAGAAAAGCCAAGACTGTTTTTAGGCAGCAAAGCCTATTTACTCTTAGAAACACCCCTCACCCCAAAACTTTTTACTTTGTGTACAAGCTTGGTGGAATATTAAATCACTTTAAGGGGAAGGAAAAGCTGTGGAACTAGGTTATGTCTAACATTTTATGTTCAAGTCAAGCCATCCATCCCTGCCTGGGTTTTTCCATCTTGTACCTCTTCTTTCTCTGGACAGGACTATGCTGACACAGAACTCTTGCTTTCCCGGGAGAACGTGGACCAGGAGGCATTGCTAAACTATGCCCGGGAGGCGGCTGACTTCTCCACGCAACAGCAGCTGCCCTCTCTAGATTTTGCCATCAATCATTATGGGCAGCCTGATGTGGCCATGTTTGACTTCACTTGTATGTATGCCTCTGAGAATGCAGCCTTGGTACGGGAACAGAATGGACACCAGTTATTAGTGGCTCTGGTTGGGGACAGCCTCCTAGAGGTGAGTACTAAGGGAAACTTTATGGTAGAGGCAGTACTGAGGAACAGTAATAATGAGGAGCAAATCTGGGTGTATTGGCTGTAGAGTGAGCATCAGCAGCATAGGCAAGACCTCTGCAGGAGTTATACCAACCAGGAAAAAAATAATGACATTAAAAGTGGTTAGAAATTCTGCAACTTTTATAACTTGCCTCTGTACTAGTTTGTGAAATGGAGATGTCCAGAGTCTGAATAGTTGTCAAATACAACTGTTGGCAGCACACTTCCTTTTGTTCTTCAGTTTAGCTTAACTCTTTTAAAAATGATTTATTAGCTGGGTAGGGTAGTGTTAGCCTGTAATCTTAGCTACTTGAGAGGCTGAGGCAGGAGGATTACAAATTTGAGGCCAGCATTGGCAATTAAATGACAAAATAAAATAAAAGGACTAGGGTTGTCGTTCAGTGGTAAAGCACTTGCCTAGCATGAGCTATGCCTCAAGTTCAATCCCCAGTACTGAAGAGAAGAAAGATAACTTATTTTAACTCTGACTTGTGTCTCTTTCTTAGCCTTTCTGGCCCATGGGAACAGGAATAGCCCGGGGCTTTCTAGCTGCTATGGACTCTGCCTGGATGGTACGAAGTTGGTCTCTAGGAACCAGCCCCTTGGAAGTCCTGGCAGAGAGGTAATAAGTCTCTTCCATGAAAAAACTGGGGAAAAGGAGTGGCTTACTCCTCAGGCTGAGTAAAAGTTATTCCTTCTTCTTTCTCTCTTCCTTTATTCATTAAAGATGTTTTTATATGTAAGAGAGGAAAGGTGAGGCTGGGATTGTGGTTCAGCAGTAGTGCGCTCACCTAGCGTGTGCGAGGCCCTGGGTTTGATCCTCAGCACCACATAAAAATAAATAAATAAAAACAAAGGTATTGTATCTAACTACCAACTAAAAAAATAAATAAATATTTTTTTAAAAAAAAGAGGAAAGGCACAATATTTCATAAAATTTTAGAAACCTAAAGATGATCTAATGGGACTGTTCTCTTGTCCCTTTCTAAATAACTTTATTATTGGAAAATAATATCTGAATCTCTATATACCATCTGGTTCTTTTTGACCATTACGTGAACAAATACTTAAAAAGTGCAATTTAGATCATCCTGACCTTAAGCTAGAAAGGCTTAATCTGATGAAGTCATTGTCGTAGTCAGAACATGCTAACATAAGAAACGGAAAGTGATTGAAAGGATAACGCCAAATTGTTTTTAAACATTTCTCAAACCTTAAGGCATTTTGGCTTAATGTGGTGACAGTTCTTTTTACCTAATTTTTAAAATTAAAGTATATATTGGCACACTTAAAAACACAATAGTAAATTAGTTGCCTTTTAAATTAGACCAGACAATTATCACTCCCCATACCATTGTCCTGTTCTTCTCTTTGGCTCTTAACTAATCCATTGTCCTTGAAATCACTGAGTGGTGGTGGTTCTGAGAAGCTAGGGTTGATGTAGAGTCAAAGAAAACTTTCCAAGAATGAAGATATATTGTATACATCAGATAATTTGGTGGACTGTCAAAACAAATATTACAAAAAGAGGAAAATGTTTATTGTGCTTGTCACTTCTATGTTGTGTGTTATTGCAGGGAAAGCATTTATAGGTTGCTGCCTCAAACCACCCCTGAGAATGTGAGCAAGAACTTCAGCCAGTATAGCATCGACCCCGTCACTAGGTATCCCAATATTAATGTCAACTTCCTCCGGCCAAGCCAGGTAAGAGCATTCTAGTCAGATATGTGCATCTGGGCCTATTCTCAGGACTGATCAGAACTCTAATAGATCAAAATGTATATAATTATGTTTGGTTTTAATACCATATACACTTTCAGTAATCCCATATACCTATACGTAAGCGTAATTTCAGTAATCCAAGTCGGTATCTCTCTGAATTGGTGGAAGTAGGTGTTATTTTCCATCAACTTGTTGAGCAACTAAGGCATGGAGTTGTTGAATACTTACAGAAGATCAAATGTGACCAAAATAGTGTACCTAGGACTTCATCTCATGCCTCTTAATTTAAATCACATACAGTCGAGGAAAGAGCGTTGATTGGTTCAGTATTCTGAAGATGTGACTTCCACTTGCCTGTTGGTCACTAATCACCTGTGACTCAGATGGGTCATTTTACTATGTCTGAGCCTCAGTTTTTCAGCTGAGAAGTGGAATTCCTACCTACTCACAGGATCATTGTAAGTGAAAATGAGATTGTTCTCTGAAGGAACATTGAAAAATAAAAACATGAAAGTAGAAGATATTGTTATTATTGTAAACCAATTATTTTTTGGTTCTGTTGCGTTCTCAAAAACTCTGAACCCTCATTACTGTATTGAGAATGACATTTTACAAAGCATAACAATCCCTAAGAATAGAATTTTAGAAAGCAACCTATTTGATATATTTTCTGTGTTCTAGAGTAATTTTTTGTCTTCTATACGAAGTTTGTGCCTTTGGGCCTTCCATATATATGTGGTAAAATATTTATAAATTCTGTTAATGAGCAGCCTTAATTGTCCAACAGAGACTCACCAGAGGGACCTCTGTGATTGAGTGGTTAACTTTCAGCACAATTTCTTACAGTTGCTATGTATTTGGTTCTATATAACCTAACCCATTCCATAAAAGATTTAAAGGTTATCACCTTAACTTCTGTCTGAACTTTACCATGGGGCTGAGGGTGTAGCTCCCAGTGGTAGAGTGCATGCTAGCATACAAAAGGCTTGGGGTTTGACCTACAGCATGCCACCACCAAAACAAAAAATACATAAATAAACATACACAGAAATAAATAAACTTAATCCACTTTCCCAGTCTTTCATCGTAGTCATTCTGTTTTTAGGTGGGAATTTGTTACATGGTGTTTGATTTTCCTTCTTTTCAATTTTCTGCCAGGTGCGCCATTTATATGATACTGGAGAAACGAAAGATATTCATTTGGAAATGGAGAACCTAGTGAATTCCCGAACTACCCCAAAGTTGACTCGCAATGGTGAGTTCTGGAAATGGTTTTTTGAAAGACAGGTAACCCTTTTCAGAGCAGTCTACTCAAAAGCCATCACATGAACATAATACCATATATGGCAGTGGTTTTCAACCAGGAGTGGTTTTGCCCTCCAAGAAACATTTGATTGTTCCTGGTTGTCATGACTTGGGGAGGTTGCTACTGTTTCTAGGTGGATATAATCCAGCAATGTTGCTAAACCTGCTATAATGTACAAGAAAGGTTCCCACAACAAAAAATTACCTTGGGCTAAGGTGTTATGAGTAGAGATAAATTAGATACAGATGCTGGAGAGGAAAAAGAGAGTGTGCATACTACACCCACTTTTAAGTTTTGTGGGGAAACTGATAGAACATGTGGTAGCATTTTAGATGGGGCCTGTGGTGTTGCCATTGTACATGTTAAAGGCAAAGGCCATTCCACATTTTGTGTGTATTGAGAGGTCCCTGAAGTTTTTATTTGACATTGAGTACACCTGGTCAGCTATAATTAAGATAGACTGGAGAAGGGAAATACACCACAGGCGAGGAGATTAGTTGGAAATACATTGCAATAATCAAACTACAGGGGGTGAACCCTAAATCTGATACTGAGCTGGAAATAGAGAAGGGAGAAAGCGGTAGATCACAGTTAGAAAAACTTGGACTTTGGGGCCAGGTGCAGCTGGGTCCCAGACCAAGCCTTGCCATTTGCAAAATGTGTGGCCTTGAACACATTAGTTAACACATCCGAACTTCAGTTTCCTCATCTTTGAAAAGAGAATAATAATAGCTTCCTCCTATGTTTATCATGAAGATTATGTGACATATATAGAGCACTTATTACAATGCATAGCATGGAGTGGGTAATCAAAAACATTACCCTTATTAATTATGTATGAGAGACTATTTTTTAATTTCTTGTTTCTTTTTAGTTTTATATATAACAGTAGAATGTATTTTGACATATCTTACATACATGGAGTATAACTTCCCATTTTTGTGGTTGTACATGATYTGGGATTACACCGGTCATATATTCACATAAGAACATAGAAAATTTATATCTGATTCATTCTACTGTCTTTCCCATTCCCATCCTCCTTCTCTTTCCCCACTTCCCACCTCCCTTTCCTGCCTATTGTGAGTCAGCATCCACATATCAGAGAGTACATTTGGCCTTTGTTTTTCAGATTGGCTTATTTTACTTAACACAGTAGTCTCCAGTACCATCCATTTACCAGCAAATGCCATAATTTTATTTTTCTTTATGGCTGAGTAATATTCCATTGTGTATACGTACCACATTTCCTTTATCCACTCATCAGTTGAAGGGCATCTACATTGGTTCCATAGCTTAGCTATTGTGAAATGAGTTTCTATAAACATTGATGTGGCTGTGTCATTGTAGTATGTTGATTTTAAGTCCTTTAGGTATAAACCTCAGAGTGGGATGATTGGGTTAAATGGTGGTTCCATTCCAAGTTTTCTGAGGAATCTCCATACTGCTTTCCAGAGTGGTTGCACCAATTTGCAGTCCCTACGTGAGAGACTATTAAGAAGCCAGAATTAGTGGACTTTGCCAGTTGATTGCCCTTAGGGGCAAAAGATGGGTACTGCATCAGTCTCAACAAGGAAGTGGGAGGGTGAAAAGGTTTGAGTTCCATTTTGGACATTTTGAATTTGATGTGCTTTGGAGATATCAAGATGAATATATGAATCAACAGGCAGATTAAAACATTTTCCTTTCTCCATTGGACTGTTGTATTCATCAGCTTTCTATTGCTGTGAAAAAACACCTGAGGTAAACCAACTTAAAGGAGGAAAGATATATTTTGCCTCATGGTTTCAGATTATAATCACTTGGCTTCATTGTTTTGGGGACTGTGGTGAAGCAGAACATCATGGCAGGGAGCCTGTGGTAGAACAAAGCCTTATGGTGGCCAAAAAGCTGGCCAAAAAGTTGCCCAGCACATATTGGATGTATGGATATCTAGACTTGGGAAGCATCTGAATAAAGTCAATATCTGAGCTAAAAGATAGCACTAGGGGTAGTTCTATGTGTAATCTCAGAATATATTTCCTGTGAAAGACTTAACCAGGACTTTTATGATAGCAGTTTTTATCTTATGTTCACAAATCTCTAAATTATTTAGTGCCAAGCTAAATATTTCCAGCTGCCTTAGGGAAGGGAACAGACTTTCTTGGACACAAATAGGAATTCACAGATTCTCTCAAATGATCCATATCATAGCTCTTCCAAGGCATGATCATTCTGGTTTTAGAAACATGTCAGTGAACTGGAAAACATCCAGGTGTATGTGTTTGCCTACTCAGTTTTTCAAGATGTGATCATTTATAATACAGGGTACCAAACTGGTCTGGAGTATTGTTATAGTCTGGGGTCCTCAGCCTTTGTCAATGTAACCATACAGAGTGTCATCACTTCACAAATTGTTCACTATTTTAGAAATTATAAGAGCAAGTCTTTAATTATTTTTACTCTAAGGTGCTGCTAGATAGAATAGAGTCTTTCCAGTGTAGCTTTGGAGGAAAAGGTTTCCTCAGACCCAGCAACCCTCTAGGTAAATCCTAAGACTGCTCTGCAGGTGAGGGTGACAGCTCAGTAGTGGCACTCTTCCATCTAAGCCGGTTTTCAGGAGTTTCCCAGGGACACTGGACTTCAGCACAAGTACCCAGTTGTGAAATTTTAGTCTCTTCACAGCTGGATGTTGACTTTAGAATATGAGTATATTGGTACCTAAAATTCCAGGATCATGATACCAGTTATATAACATTGTCCTCACTATTTTCTTTTGAAGTCTAGAAATGACTGTTTTTGTCCCTACCTTTAGTAGTTTTTCGAACTGGATATGTGTACTGCAAAGCAGATCTTATATTAGTGTTGCTAGGTAACCACACTTCCAATAATAGTTTGTTTTATTGTTTTAGAATCTGTAGCTCGTTCAAGCAAACTGCTAAGTTGGTGCCAAAGGCAGACAGATGGTTATGCAGGAGTAAACGTGACAGATCTCACCATGTCTTGGAAAAGTGGCCTGGCTCTATGTGCAATTATCCACAGATACCGTCCTGATCTGATGTAAGTCATGACTGTACTTTTTATTTTATATCCACCAAAGATCTCAGAGCACCCTGCTATCAAGTAGTCAAATTTTGTGCTCTTTCCAAAATGAGGTACATAGTGCGATGCATTCTCCAGAAGACTGTGATTTGATTTAGCTATGTTTAGAACTTCATATGTCAAGCATTGTGTTGCTAAGTCCAGGAACAATTAGCCGAGTTGTGTGTTTTGTTTGTTAGTTTTAGTATTGGGGATTAAACAAAGGGGCACTTTACCGCTGAGCTACATCCTCGCTACATCCCTAGTCCTTTTTATTCTTTTTTTACTAAGTTGCTGAGGCTGGCCTCAAACTTGCAATCCTGCCTCAGCCTCTCAAGTTGCTGGAATTAAAGATATAAACTACTGCACCTGGAAATTAGCTGGGTTTTTAAAAATCACAGCACTCATAAAGTAAAAAAATTGGCTTAACACCCACCTGGACCTGTTAACTTTACACAAGGGAAAACTCTGTTTATTGGCCCCAGGTTGAACTCTTCATTTTGGCCAGCCATCTCAGATGCTGTTGGTCACAAGGGAAACCTGGCTAGAACACTGAACACTTGGCTAGCTCAAAACAAATATGTCACTGCCAGTGAAACCGAAAACAATGAATACTTACCAGTTTATGATGGTTCATTGATATTTTCTTGTCAATGACTACACTTTTTGCAAATATAATTCTGTCAGGGGCTGGGGTTGTGGCTCAGTGGTAGAGCACTTGCCTAGCATGTTCGAGGCCTGAGTTCGATCCTTAGCACCAAATAAAATTTTAAAAAATTCTGTCAAGCTCATGAAGTTCATGTCATCTTACCCAGTATACTAGTAATATCTCTTTTGTCGATTCTTCATCCACCTATCTACAGAATCAGTACACTAGGCTTACCCCAGGTCAGCTGTGGTGACTGTATTTCCCTCACAGGCATTCATAACCATAGAAGCCAAACAGAAAGATTCAGAAATAGAAGTAGAGTGCATTGAATTATTCTGGCTGCCTGTACCTTTTATCATTAGGTCCATTTAATGGCCTACTTCTTGTTTATTTTAAAATTGCTTAAGAAATCCTAAAGTACGTAGTCCATATATATGAGATAGTTATAAACTAAAGAGGCAGATCTAATAAAAACAGCTTTGCACAGTGTAGAATTTAAATGGAGAGAACTGAGGATATGGCTCAGAAAGCACTTGCCTAGCATGCACAAGGCCTTGGGTTCCATACCAGGCTGTAAAAAGAAAAGAGTAGAGGATTTCTAATATGCTTCAATAAATGTAAGTGACCCCCCAATGCTCCTGCATTCAACTCATCCAGAAGTTGGTAGAAGGTAAATGAAAATAGTACTTATTCACTCCCACAAAAGAAAGGAGTGGGGAGGGAAAACAGCTTGAAAAAAAAATTATGACAAAAGGCACAGAAGGGCTTCAGAAGATGAGGCAAGTGATAAGTTCTTTTCCAAATGGAGGGCAAGAAAGGGAAGGATAATGACAGGAAAAGTTGAGAGGACCTAGTGGATGGGTTACAGGGGTGAGTATGGGCCAGAGGGGACACATTCCTGTTAGATTACACCAAAGTGTGCCTGGAAAAGGCCCAGGGGAGTTACAGCAAACATAAAGCAGTGAGAGAAAAGGAAGTAGGGTGCTTTTTGTTTTTTGTTTAATGGAAAAATGCCACAGGTTCAGTAGGTTAGCACAAAATAAGGGTTTCCAGGTAATCTGAAGTCACCTAAACAAGCCTGTTGGGGCTTGGGATATAACTCATTTGTGGAGTGTTTGCCTAGCATTCACAAGGTCCTGGGTTTAATTCCCAGCAAAACCCCTCCCCCCCMAAAAAAATAATGCTGTCAGATATCACTCTGAATAGCAAGAAGCTTCAAACCTAATAGGAAATATTTGTTAATCTAAATACTTGGGAAAACTCAGGAGATTTAGCAATGGGAAAATCTTATGTAGGTTTTGGAATTTCCCATCAGGAGAAAGCTGTGTAAGATTTACCAGAGCTGATTTTTAGGACATTAGCAGCTTGCCAGGGCCAAGGGCCATGGTGGTAGTAGCTTTGGCTATTAGGAGCAGTCTGATCCAGATAGGATTCATACTACTATTTGACATTCATTTATATGCGGGCACTTGGGTATAGATGAATCTATATTGAAGATAGTTCCTGTACTGAGTTTACATTTTGTGTCACTGGAAAGATGAGAGGAGCCAACTTTTTCCCTCTTGTTCTCCTTTATTGGATAGATCTTTAATCATTTCTTCTTGAGGATGCTTTGCATTTCCTTAGTCAAAGGAAGGAGAATAAGAGATGAGAAAAACAGGTCTGCTCTCAGATCCTAGTGATGCACTGCTCCCTGGATTTTAGTCAAAAAGACCAAGAAATGACTATGATCCTGTGATATTGTATGTTCTGGTTTGAGGACAGTCAGCCCAACTTGATCTATATTCCTTGTCCTGTTTCTCAGAGATTTTGATTCTTTGGATGAACAAAATGTGGAAAAGAATAACCAGCTGGCCTTTGATATTGCTGAGAAAGAACTGGGCATCTCTCCCATCATGACAGGCAAAGACATGGCCTCTGTTGGGGAGCCTGACAAGCTGTCCATGGTGATGTACCTGACTCAGTTCTATGAGATGTTTAAGGACTCACTCTCCTCTACTGGTAAGGAGCTGGTGGGTGTGGTATGGAATTCTTAGTTTCCTGTTGAGCTATTGTCCAGGCATTTCTGTCTTTCCTTCCAATTGTGCCCTTCATCAGTACCACTAAATACAATACCACCAAGCTCAGGCTTACTCTGTTTCTACTGCTCAATGTGGAGGCAAAGCAGATCTGTGTTTGCTGAGATCCTAATTCCAACTTGGGATAGAAGGCATTTCTTATGCAATATAACTGAAATGTTGTCTCAGTTATCAGTAGAGTTCTCTGAAAATTGCTTCATTATTTTTCTCTTTTCTAGTCTTATGTTCTAAACCATTCATTATTTTACAAAGTTTTTTTTACTTAATCTGTAAATATGCAAAAATCATTCCTGCTCAAACTTTTTTTGTTCCCCTCAACTCTCCTGCCTTCTCCTACTCCTTTCCTCAGAACCAGCCCTTCTGAAGTGGTTCATGTTTGTGGCCTCTATTTACTACCTAAACTTTATAACACTTTGAAATCCATCTTATCTTTGTACTACTCTCTCAACACAGTTTTCTACAGTTAGGAAGAATCATCCTTCCATATTCTTTTCTCATTCTCATGTAGTTGCCTCTTCTGCATCATTCAGCACTATAGAATAAATGTTCTCTTCCTTGAAATTCTCTCTTCTCAGCTTCTGTAACAGTGCCCTACTATTCTTTCTTCTGTAACTGTTCCCTCTCTAGTTTCTCTTTCTACCTTTTAGGGTTTCCCCAAAATCTCTTGTTGGCTCTTAGCCTGCTGCCTCTACTTATCATGGGGCTACAAAAAATATTCTTATTGTCATTTATTGCCCTGTGAAATAAATGTAGTATAATGTCTAACAGTGTTGACCGTGGTATCTGACCTGAATTTATATCCCAGTATTTTCACTTGTTTGACCTAGGGCAAGTTACTAAATTTCCTTATGCCTCATGTATGTAATATGTAAAATGGGATAATATACATAATTATATTATGATATGCTACAAAGAATGTTTGGCATATGGGACCACTTAATAAATATTAGTGATTTCTTTTTATTAGTTTCAATTACTATTGATACTAATAAAATTTTGGAATCCATAAAGTTTATGGTACCACTCCTGAGTGTCTTCTAGTCCATGACTCTTATAGGTATCTGAGTCTCTTCCTGATTACATACGCGAAACATGCAACTCTAACAAAAATATTCCCATTTAGGGGGAGCCCCTTAATATACTCAGCAAAGACTATGGCCTCTACATCTACCCAAACCAATGACCCTATTAGGCTCTGCTCTGCTCTCTCCCTTTCCCTCTCTCTGTCCTGAAATTTTTATTACCAAAGTAAGGCTTTAGCACTTAAGGACCTTAAAAAAGCAGAAGGGCAGTTTTTTGTAATGGAAGTATATTGAGGAAAGAGTTTGTTTTGTTTATGTGGGTGGAAAAGAGAAGGGTTAATGTCCAGACTCAAACTTTGTGGCATTTCTACAAAGAGCTGCCTTTAGAGCTTCCTGAGATTCCTTTCCATGAGCCCCTCGAAGACAGAGTGGTTCTGGTCAGGACTTCATAGCACCCTCGAGGGCTGTCCTTGAACACTGCTGATTTCTCTTTACAGACACCTTGGACTTGAATGCTGAGGAAAAGGCAGTTCTGATAGCCAGCACCAAATCCCCTATCTCCTTCCTGAGCAAACTTGGGCAGACCATCTCTCGGAAGCGTTCTCCCAAGGTACCAACACGTGGGAGTCATTTTTCTAGTAACTGCAAATTAATGACAAAGTGTAGTGAACGGAATGATGTAGCTTCCTTCTTTTCTTGGTGCAGGATAAAAAGGAAAAGGACTTGGATGGAGCTGGAAAGAGGAGAAAAACTAGTCAATCAGAGGAGGTGAGATTCATCTCGGGATTTGCTAGAATTATTATACTAAGTTTTCCTTTTTGGTTTAAATTGTTAATTCCCAAATTGGTTTCACTAGATCCTTTATGGAAACTTCTGTGAGCAGCTTTTTCTGTGGATCTTTATTTAATTTTCTAGAGAACAACCAGGAAACGTATATACACATGTGCACTTAGACCTTCCTATCTCTTTGGAGTCACACGTTTGGCCAACTACAGAGGCTTTTGTGGGAAATGGTGATACCAGCACAAGTCCAAAAACTCTTATAATGCCCCATGTGCCAGGGTCTTATTGACTATTTGGAGATTGGTACCTTAAAGAGAGCTGTTAAACTCAACCTAAAGCTACTGTGTGGATCCTGATTACACTTCTTTAAGGGAGGAGGAAATAAGTGAAGGGTACCTATAATAGTCTGGTTCTCTGGTACTTGCCATTTGTCAGGAGGAAACTCCCAGGGGCTACAGAGGAGAAAGACCAACACTGGTGAGCACCCTGACAGACAGGAGGATGGATGTTGCTGTTGGAAACCAGAATAAAGTGAAGTACATGGCAACCCAGCTTTTGGCCAAATTCGAAGAGAATGCGCCTGCACAGACTACTGGCATAAGGAGACAGGTAAGCACATCTCCCACCCAGACTGGCCAAGTCATACAGGAAGGAGGACCTTTTCAGTGAGACGGACCGTGTCGCTCAAAACTAGTGTCTAATTTTCTCTTGTCTGACTGTGATAGAGATGTGTATTTCCTAAGCTCATCTTAGGCATTCAGTGCTGCTTTATGTTCTGCACAAGTCTGAGGCATCTTTAACGAAGTCAAGTGGGATCTAAAAAATATATGATTATACATCTATCTATACACGGGTATAAATTCACACACACACATATTTAAATTATAAAATAAGTATGTGCTTATTGATTAAAATGCTGAAAAGCATAGTAAAGATAACTGAGGTACCTATAATTTTGCTAATGTACTCCTGCATTGCTTTCTGGTTTTCTCCCCTCCCCCATGCTTTCTTGTTTTCATAATGGTGGTCATTTTAAAATGTATTTTTCTATTCTGCTATTTTCATTTAACTTTAGGCACATTCCCATGTGTTCCCAAATCTTTTTGGCATTTTCCAAAATGTGCTGAGTCATTCTAGTGCTGGTTGTTTTAGTTTTTCCCCATCTTTCATGATGAAATAGAGGTAACAATTCTTGCAATAAAGCTGTTTTTTTGTGTGTTGCAAAGTGTTTTTCTAGGATACTACTGAATATGTGAACATTTGGATATTAAATTACACACCCCAGTTTATGCATGAGAGTACCAGACAGTATTTGACCTGAGGTGTCCTTGTTAAGTCTTGTCACTGCCTTGCTTTACCAAGGCTTCTTACAAAGGGGGGCATTGGGATTTTGATATTTATACTCAAAATTCCTATAAAACTCCCTGATAACCTGAAAGGTTATCCAAAGGACAGGAGGCCTATTCTTTTTGTTCTCTTTGTCTCTTTATCTTCTCCATACTCTTATCAACCATTGTCCCTATGGACCAGGCAGGTGGCACTGATTTTCTTGGCGTCTGACCACATCTCATCTTTAGTTATTAGTATTTGTACTCCTATCTTTTCATGTTGTGGCTTGCAGGAAAGATAGTATTATTCACTGGGAAACATTAGAGGTTGCCTGGATGTTCTGGCAACCCCAGGTTCCTCAGGCAGGCTAGAATGCCCTCTTTGGGAGGTAAATTGCTTCCAAGAAAAGGTTGCTTTCCTCATTAGTTTTCCAAATTAGAGTTAATAGTTTAGACAGAGAGCTTTGGGTTTAGGGAAAGAATAATGAGAATCACAGCTTCTGTCTCTCTTTTTTTTCTTCTTTTTTGTACTTGCTTTTGATTTGGGGGGCTCCTTCTTTCCCTTCCTTCCTTCCTTTCGTAAATTCCACCTGCCTTCTCACAGTTCATAGATCATTGTCTGTCTTCCATGGGTACTTTTTTTTTTTTTTTTTCGGTGTCTTTTCCTACCTTAATGTATTTTATTTTGTTTTGTCTCCATGTCTGTCCCCCACCCACACTTGGCCTGTGTGTCACAGCCGACACAAGAGCGTGGGGTCAGCCAGCCGACCTGCTGCCTGCCTGAGCAGGGTCTCCCTGCTCCCATCCCTCAGTGGAAACAGGTAAAGGAACTGCTCAGGGATTAGGATGGGGGCTGTTGCCATAGGTCTTTCCACCCTACTCGTGCTTCTGGGTCTGCCCGTGTTCATATCTGCCCTTGAGAAGCCTAGCTCACAAGGGCTAGAAGGCTCTGTGCTCATTTGAGCAGTAACTCTGAGAAAACATTGAACAGACAGTGCTGATTCAATTCCATGATTCAGTTAACTCCTTGGGATTTGAGAAACCAGTTTAAAAGGCAGACTGTTAATTTGGTGCTGAAACTAGCTGAAGTGATTTGACAAGCTTTTTGGTATGTCAACCTTTGGGGCTTTAACTGTTGTAACATTTGTCCCATGTTAACTTTTTGCTAGCTTCTCTACTCATGTCCATTGCTGGGAGAATCTTGACTTCATCAGACMTGAGAATAGTGGGTAGAGGTGGGGCAGTGGAGAGAGCCTTTCACATGAAATGGGGAAATGATAACCATGACAGTAGTTTTGAAGTATAGTTTTGTTTCAAACCTTGTACAAAGAAAGGTGTCATGGGCATTTTTCTTGGGTTTTGTCCATACTTGAAATAACTCTTTTTGCCTGCATGTGGAATGTACCTGTAGTCCCAGCTACTTGGGAGACTGAGACAAGAAGGTTGCTTTAGCCCAGGAGTTCAAGGCCAGCCTGGGCAACATAGGAAATCTTCATCTCAAAAATGTATATAATAATGATTAACTAATAAAATATTCTTTTAGGGGACCACAGGTATAGCTCAGTGACAGAGGATTTGCCTATCAGGTGCAAGACCCTAGGTTCCATCCCTAGCAGTACCCCCACTGCCTCACCCCACCCTCCAAAAACACCCTCTTTGACATTGTCACTAAAATGTTTTAGGATTTCCCAGAAAATTGCTCATCCTAACAGTGTAAAAAGGAGATTATTGTTCATCCTGTTTTATAATAGAAAACCTATCTGAAACTTATCTGAGGAATTGGAAGTCTCTGTTATATTTTTTCTCACATCACAATTGCGCAAATTTCTGCTCTATAGAACCTGGAATAGCTTTCTCATAGTTTGATATCATGTAGAACTGATAGGATAATGATAGGTCAGATAAGCTGATCCTGGATTTTATTAGCATCTTCCACAGTTGGCCTCACTCACCTCTTGTGCTGTAACATAGCCTCTGTTGACAGGATATGCTGAAGAACCTTGAATTGGGCCTTATTTAAATTGCATTCAGGAAAAATGTTACTTTCTAAAACTATAACAATATGCCACATGAAAGGCATAGCCCATAAGGCTAAGATGGAATCTTGGAAGTGGTGTCCAAACTCATAGCCAAAGTCAAACTTCCCTTTTTCTATGCTTAGGAGAGGTCTTCTGAAATGTTTTCATCAAAAATTTACTGTATTTTATTTTCTTACCCTTGCTTGAAGTGGAAGATAAGATTTGAAAAGTAATCTTAGTTGAGGATATTGAGGTGTGATGCAAATTCTAAACTAGATTCTAGAAACTCTGTAGACTCATAGAGGGTAGCCTGAGGTAGAAACAAAGTGGGAAGATCAGAAGCAATCTACGCAAGTGGGTGGATAGATAATCCTATGTCATGTGCCTGGTATAGCTTTGGTGGGCTTACTGGGAAGTGTGGGGCAGTGAATGTGGCTTGAGACRTTGGCTGAGTCATGGCCTCAGTCCTGTGAAGATGGACTCATCAGCTCATAATCTGATGGTGCTGCCCTGAAGAGGCATCAGGAGCTTGGTTTCATGGGACTACTTACGATTGTCTGATAGCCTATAGCATTTTTCAGGGATTGGTATGGAGATTATTGTTCATCCAAACTTACATAGCTTGTAATCAGGTCATTATGGTCACAATCAGTGAAGTAGGGTGATACTAATAGGCCATCTGTACAGCAGATTAAACCCCTTAAAGTCAAACATAGGTTCTAGGAATAAGTACCAGAGATTATAGCTGGATAGAGCAACTAAGTAGATGGGTAAATAAGAAATCACAAGTAATGAAAACCTTGTTAGATCCTTATATGCTTTAGGTTTTATAAAGTTGGAGATTGTGAATATTATTTGAAATTTATACTATTCACATAATAATCTTTTCCTGAGTGTTGGCCTCTAAATTTATCTCCTGAACACTAGAGGTGGATGTGATGTCAGGTTCTACAGATACCTAAAAAGACAAGAACTTGGGAGCACTTTGGCTGCTGCTCTGTCTTGCCCTGATTGCTGGCCTCTCATCTCCCTTCAGGAACTGGGTGCTGACTGGAGCACCTCATTGTGGCTCACTTTGTGCTTCTCTTGACATTGTTCCCACTGATGCAGGAGGGTGTGACAGACACAGCAGTGATTGCTGAGTTGACAAGAAAATCAGTTTCAATTTCAGTCATTGTATGGAAGAAGAGAAATGAATAACAACTCTGCTTGCCAGTGACTTCTCTTCCTAACCTTCCTGTATAATCACTGTAGCTCTTTCCTTCCCTACTCCTTTTGCGTTTGATCCCAGAAGTGCATCCTGTACGCAAACTCTGTGCAAGAACCAGCCTTGATTTGGAAGTAGATTGTTACCTGAGGTGGGAACAAACAGTGGAGATGCTTCCCCTGGTCTCATGACTACTAAAGCCTTCCTCCTGCAGGCTTTACATGTATGCCTACCCCAGGCAGTCATCTGGTCAGAGAAAACTAAGAATTACCTGAAAGGAATCAAAGAGGCCCAAGATAATGTGCAGTTGCTTGTCAAATGCAGAGAAGTTTTCTTAGAGGTGCAGAATGAGGAAAAAAGTCATGAAGATATATATGGTATCAATTAGTGAAATATGCCTAATTATTTTATCCTGTTTCCTGTACTTTTTGTCCTACCTTGGTATTCTCAGAAATTTTGAATGTTATTTAGGATGTGAAAAGAGTAGGTAGGATATTATCACAAATACCTGTGCGTTCTGCTTTGTTGCTGTGGGGTATGCGTCACCAACTTTTTAGAGGTAGTCTTACATCACTTATAGTGGGCCCGAATGCCTTTTTTCTCTGCTTATAATTAAGACCATTTTCCTGTTCTCCAACTTCCCTGCCAAATCCCTTGATTCCTGTCATTTAGAAAGTGCTACATCACAAGTTCTCACCAGCTACATAGATTACCTGTGCCATCAGTGCCTAACAGAAGGTGTCAGTCCAACCTGGAGCTCATCAAGAGTTTGTGACAAGCCACCCTCTCTAACCACATAGTGATTTGCTTTTGAGGCTCGAGGGGCAAGGAAGGGGCCTCTCAGGTTGCTTCGGAAAATGCCCATCAGCCTTTCCAGAACTACCCTTCATGTAGCCATTGTCTGAACAATCTTCTCTCTGTTTGTGTCTATTGGTGTAAAAGCGACGGGAAAAGGAACGTTCTCGGACCTGCCCAAAAAAAGTGATCACACTTTCTCCTCCCCCTACTTCACCTGCCTGTCAGGTGCACAGTGAACAGCAGGTGATCTTCTCTGCATGCTCTATGTCCTATCTGTCTTCTTGCCTGCCTGTGTAAAGACCAACTCAGTAATCCCTCTTTTCTACTTAAATGCTATATACCATTTGTAGAAACCATTTGTAGCAGAAACAACCTATAGTGCTACAAATTGGCATTTCCTGAATGGACCTCAGGATAATGCACTGTACATTCAAATCCTGGGCAGTTTAATCTAGTTTCCATCCTAGGAATATAAGTATGTAACCACAAACTAAAATATAAAACTATATTTTGTGGAGATTGAGGCCTACAAGCCCTGATAGCAATGCATTTTTATAAAATCCCATTTAAAGCAGCCATTTTTCTCTTGCTTTTCTGTAAGTTGTGATTAAAATGGGCATTTGGAAGCTTTATAGGACCTCCCTACGTGAGTTTGATTCCTTCTGATTCTGAGAGCCCTGATTCTTGCTTACCCAATTCCTCCTAACAAATGCTCACCCTTCCCCATCTGCCCCACTCACATTCCAGGCCTATCACTCAAGCTGTTTTACAGGGGTAGGGTGGTAACTCTATGATATATTGCCTCCTAGCATTCATGAAGCCCTGGGTTCAATCCCCAGTACTACACACACACACACACACACACACAGAATATTAACCACAGACATGGCTAGTGAACATTTGTGGCAAGCATACTTATTTATTTATAGAATGGCTTTGTTGACCTTTATGGTATATCCCTGTAAAATAAAATGCTAATTTGGAGGGCAGGATCTGTGCAAAGACATTTTCTCAATTAAGGTAGCCTATTTAAAAGGGGACTACTAGTAACAGTCTGATTTTAGAGGTTCAATGTATGTCCATTGGTTTAAGATCTGAGCCATGGTAGATTCAGGTACCAGGATTGGAGGTGTAGCTCAGTGGTAGAGCATTTGTCTAGCATGTGCAAGGCCCTGGGTTCAATCCCTAGTCCTGGGGGGGGGGGGAGTAACTGCCCAATTCTTTGTCTCTAATAGCTAACAATTATAACAATTATGAGCATTTACTATGACCCAAGTTCCTTTCATGTGTCATCTTAGCCAGTTCTAATAACAATACAAAACAGGTACCATTATTATCTTCATTTTACAAATGAGGAGACTGAGCACAGGGTAGAGAAGCCAAATAATTTGTATAGAGCCACACAGGAAGTAATGGAACCAAAATTGAATCCTGGTCACTAGCCTCAGGAGCCCAAGCTGTGGCCTCATTATGCTTATGGAGACAGTCTGCTTCTGGGTAGCCACATGGGAAGGTTTGGATCAATTTTGCACCAGTACATGGTATAAGGTGAAAGTCCTTAGTTGTCCTTAGTAGATGAGCATGGGGGTCTTCCCCATTCTCGTGATTGCTGTTAATGATTTCCTCAGTTCAGCAAGGCAGCCCTGTGCCTGTGTTACAGGTTCCCATTTCTCTCATGTATGTATTCCTGTCTATAAACTGAAAATGCTTCCAGTCTTCATCTACTTCTCCCTATAATAAAATATGTTCTTCTTGAGGGTCTACCTGAGTTTCCTCTGGGCTCATAATGGTCATTTATTCCAGCCAGTTTTTACCTCTGCACCTTTTCTTTCTAATATCTTATTGTGGAAAACTTCACCCTACTAACCTTCAACTGAATGCCTCTGATCTCATGCCACTGTGTGAAAGAAGTGTGCTTGTTCCACCTTTGTACTAACCATAGTTTTTTATTCGTCTATATAGCTGACCTCATTGGAGGCCAGGTGGACAGAATGGCTGTGCAAAAAATTGTTCTTGGGTCCTGGAATTTGATTGGGGTTATGGTAAGTTGGGTGGAGACCAGTAGGGACAGGGGATATGCATTGAAATGAATTTCTGCCTCTGAATGTCCCGCTCTCATCTAGTAGTTTCAAATAGAGCATCCGAATGGAGCTTAAGTTTCTACTTTGTTGCCAACAGACATACAGGGATCTTGATGCTGACAGCCGTGGCAAGCAGAGTCCCCGACATGAGAGGGTAAAAGAGCATGAACCCGTGGCATGGGATGCTAAGAGCCAAAGAAGTGGGGCACGCTGTATGGTGGGGCAGTGGGAAGGGGGCATGGAGGATGGTCCCTTTTCCCCTTGCTTTTTGCACATTTGTCACTCAGCCTCTACCCCCAAAGTATGTGTTAATGGGAGAACAGCATTAACTGCCAGGGATAGCTTCTCAGGAGAAAGGTCTATGTAAGTAAGCAGGTAACTTCTGACAGTTATAGATCTTGAAGTAGAAATATTAAGAGAAATGCTGTTTGCCAGTCTGAGGATTTATCAAGAGAGAAAAGGATAAGTGGAAAGAAGGTGATTGCAATATGGGTATGCATAATGAAAAGCTTCCACTGGTCTTTTTTAAAAAACTAAGGAAGGAATCACTGATTGCAACTGAGCATCATAATTTATTCAGTAACATAGATGACCAGTTGAAGAGGCCTGCTTATTTTATGAGACTTTTGGTTATTGTTGTTATCCCCCTCCTTTAAAAAAGATCCCCAGATGGGGATAACTTTGCAGCTAGAGTAGGTTATCTATAGTTGCTAATCTCACATAAGCCCTTTATATTATTTTTACCTCCTCTTCTGCCTATCCTTTCTGAAAAATGCAGTTATGGTTAAGTAGTAAATCAGGTTACTTCTGAGATCTGTTAAGAAACTAACCATAGCACTCTAACTATGCCCTCTCACCAGATTGCCGTCAGGCAGCTGTATGCTGTCAAGATGGGAGTGCTGGGTTAGGGATCAAGGTGAAGGGGCTGTCTGTTGCACCTTCTCAGCATGGCTAGGCCTTATTTTATTTTCCTCATTGCTTATCATGCAGGTTATTAGGGCTGCCTTCTCCCACAGGCACTGTGGGAACCCAGCCTTCATCCCAGGCTGTACTTTACATCTCTCAAAAAGAAAAGTAGGCATTTTCCTTGAGCAGGACAGTACCCCACATTTTGGAGAATGTCTGTTTTAATGAGGTTCTGATGATTTTTACTAACACCTAAAAGAAGAAGAAAGGGAAGTATGTTGAGTATAAGAAGAAATTGGCCAGGAGCAACACTTCTGAAGTCTAGGGTTACCAAGGGGAAGAGCACAGAAGACAATAGATGTTTGGGGATTTTTCTTCCTTTTTCCCCAAGGAGCCAGTATCTGGATTCCTCAGTACAGAGCTCTAGGTTAGATACTTTGGAGGGACAACACTTATGTTTTTCCAAAACTTTCTTTCCACTGCTCCAGTACCGTGTGTACACTGCTCGCTTTTGATGCCTGTTGCTCCTCCATTAAGTTCTGTCGACTTTGTCATGCTAAGGGGATGGATGTTCAGTCTTGTTGTGGCCTTTTGGTGAGTGGTACTAGTACTCTTCCACAAAGTCCATCCCCAACTCCCTGAGGGCTTTTGTAGCTGACTCTACCTTGAATGGTGAGCTTAGGACCGGGGAGCTAGCTGAGCATCTGGAGCAGAGTATAGGCTAGTTAGGCACCAGATAACTGCCATTCCATGTTGTTACCCCCCAAAATGTTGTGAGTGTGTATTGGCTGAAGTAAGGGGTGCAGTGGATCTGGAGGAGCAGAGAGCTTCTCATTACCCTAATAGTAGTACCTCTGTTTCTCCAAGCCTATAAATATTTCACCTTGAACTGGTAGGAAACTAAGCAGTTATTACTTGCTAACGCTTTCACCTATCTCACTCTCTGGGCCAATTGCTGAAGAAAACACTGGCTCATTTTTGCTGTATGTGTTGTGTGCAGTCTGCAAAAGATGTGGGAGCTTTGAGTCTTGTCTCCTATTTATTGCTTGAGGTTTGGCTGGCCTCGTTGGCAAACAGAGCTTCTCCAAGCACTAGAAGGAGGATAAGCACTATTCCTGCCCTTGATACAGAAAAAGCAAGCTTAGCCCTATTTACTGTCTCTCTTGCTTGCTAATTAGAAGGCTAATTGAATAACGGGGTGGTGGCAGAATTCTTCCTTACCCAGAAAGCATGCCTTGGGCCAGGGAAAGGGCTCTCCGCAGGGGACAAGGTATATGTTTGCAGTACCTGCTGACGCCTATCCTATCACTCAGCTGGCAGAATTGCCCACTTAGAGGATGGGTGGAGTAAGAATACCAAGCCAGAAAAGACAAGGCTTTCATAGCTGGTTTACCTGTGAAGAACGACATATCTCTATGGCATATCTTTTTCAACTAGAATTCAAATTTGGGCTGGGAATACAGCTCAGTTTGTAGAATGCCTGCCTTGCATGCCCAAGACTCTGGGTTCAATTCCCAGCACCACACACACACACACACACACACACACAATCAAAAATGCACTATTTATGTTCAGAGCAAGCTTCACTATAAGCATTGGAAGATAAGTAAAAAACAAAATGGGAGCCTTGATTAGGGAGCCACTTGAGCTTCTGGGAGCCAAAAATATTTCTTTATCATATGTATTAGATAGAGGTCTAGAGTAGAAGGGTCTAAAACTGTCAAAATTTCTTGTTTGAGGTATGACTTTTAATTTAACATTTTCCTTTGATTTTTTTCCCCCTCCATCTTGTATTTTATAGACAGAGCCTGAACCTTCTCGTCGATTTTTGGTTGACCAGTGGGAGCTTTCTCTTAGTCTCCGCTCCTCCAACCGCCCTGCCTCTCCCTCCTCCGACTCCCTTCGACAGGTAGCATGGTCTGAGAATTGGCAAAACCATGTTTCCTCTGCAGCCTCTGCTCACTTCACTTTCACACATGCCTTCTGTCCAGAGGTCTTAACCTTGGCCTCTCTCCTGTAAGAAGCTAATGGTGTGTGTTTGTATGTGTGAGGGTTACAGCAGACACATAAATTAAAGAGGCTGCTGGCCTTCACTGAATTGTATTTAACACTGCCAAAGTCTGTCAAAGTAAGCCTACTTTGATTGTATTTAACTATATTCAATAATAATTTTTTTAGCCATTGGGTTTTTAAATTTCATATGCCTTTGTAATCATGTATTACATGTTTTAATGAAATCACTTAAGTAGAATARTGAATCTGCAGTATTCTGAGTGCCTCTTAACCTGTAGTCATGTGAGTAATGAATGCTGCTATTTCCCACAGTAGCACTGATCTAGCCATAGAGGAGTTTGTAGGGAGATTAGAGCGTCTTTTTGCCCATTCTGTTTGTGCTTCCTTTTCTTGAGCTAGTACCAGACTCTGCGGTACATATGTGCAGAATCACATGCATGTGTGTGGTGTGTAGTACTTTAATCTAGTGATTGCTATGCTTTAACTATTTTTTAAGAACAGGGAGAAGGAAACTATCTGCTTTTCTTGCCAAAAGCAAACAACTTAAGTTTTCACCTCTGGGAGGTGGGGGGTACTTAGTGTTACACCACATTGCTGGGAATTGAATGTGACAAATGCCTTTACACATGAGCAGCCCCAGGCTGTAACTACTGAGGATGATGGTTTCTGGCCATCAGAGAAGGGTCTTGTCTGTGCAATGGGGGCACAGGGGCTGTACAGTATCCTGGCCACATGTTTGACATCTGGTCTACATTCACTTGTTTGCGACAGAATGAAAAAAAAATGCAATTTTCTGTTCCCTCAATGTCAGCTACTAAATGATCTGCTCCACTTTGCCTGGTGTCTGCCTATTCTAGGCCTAAGTGTCTCCAGTGTCCCTAATCTAAAGAAAGTTTAGATCTAAGAACCACTTGTTTTTTCTCAACTACAAATGGTTATAGCTGTGAAGTTAATAGACAAATGGCTACAATCCTTGGAAATCTCCTTATTTTTCAGTTAAGAAATATGATTTCTCAGTTCCAGCTAAGCTTTGAGCTATGCAACCAAGTATTGTTTTCTCATTTGTGCTTCTGTTATTCCCAGATTTACATGAGTTAGCTCCCTCCCCATCCCYAGAGTACTTCTCTTTGCCCCTGCCCAGCCATGGCATATCCTGGGTTGGGCAAGGGAAGATAAAGGTTATCACCAGTAATACCAGAACTCTTACACATGCCTTTTTATGTATGTCTATTCAAACCACTTCCTAAGGGGGTTATTTAGTTCTCCAAAATAACTACACCTACTGTGTTTCTGAGTCAGAATTAGATTCACAGCCTCCTGAATTTGTCAGGGATCCCCCTTGTTCCACATAATTCATGAAAAGAGAAGCACATAGCACATGGAAAGTGACCTGGATATGGAGTCCCTAAAAGATTGCCAGCAAGACTTTGCATTCCCAGGGACAGGCTCCAAAGCAGGGCTGCCCTGGGTACCAGCCCGTGGTGTGAGCAGGATGGCTTATCATGCAGACATTTCTCCTTTTATTTCTTGAATATTGCCAGGAAGAGGATTGAATTGGTTGGATTTTCTTTTTCTTCTACCTTTTCAAATTCTAAAAATAATCCCTTCTGGACTAGAAATACATTTTGACTTCTCAGGATTAAGAAACTTGTTTACATGGCTGCACTGTGTGGTTAAGATGCCCCACCCAGCCTAAAAGGCTTTGGCATTAGTGCCTGGATAGATCATACGGGCTTTCTTATGCTATTCTCAAGCCCCCATTAAATATCAACAGGGAAAATTGGCAAGAAGACTTTTTCCAACAGAGCTCAGGAATGTCTGCTGCATGTAACAGTTGCTATATGAGTCAAGTGCTAACAAGGAAGATAAAGATTATCACCAGTAATACCAGAACTCTTGACATCATCAGTCAATGACCCCAGTGGATTATCATTTGCAAGAATGAACTTGACTTATTTCTAAATGAGGAAGTAGTCTACCAGACTCTCTCCTTTACTCTGAAATGGTGGTCAGTGTGGACATCCATTGCTTGTGTGGAGTTATTCCTCTTGAATCCTTTGTGTGTAATTTGATTCACCAGAGTACGTGCCCTTCTTACTGTCTTCTGTGTTTTCATCCATTCTGCCTTTTACTTCCTATCTGCCTGAAACTATATATTCCAAAAATAAGACATGAAAGACCAAGTTCTCCCTGTGGAAAGATCATCTCCCACAAATGCTGCTCCTTTCTATGCTGACCACCACCACCCCACACAAGTAGACACTGACACAGTGTTTTACTCACCACCATTTCTCTGCTTGTGGGCACTGTGTTGGCATGGTTTGCTGCTGCACCGTGTAGTCATTTTACACCTTAAAATAGTTTTTTCTTGTCTTCTTAATTTTTTTTCCTTCTCATTTCCTTTCATTCTGGTCATTCTGTAATCTCCAACCAATAGAAGTATATAAAGATGTACACGGGCGGAGTGAGCTCATTGGCTGAGCAGATAGCCAATCAGCTTCAAAGGAAAGAGCAGCCCAAAATCCTTCTAGACAAGAAGGAGCTGGTAAGAGATATCTCAAGGGCACTGGTACTAGCCTTCACACTGCTATGGGGGAACAAACCTGCTTTGTTCCAAGAAGCTTAGTAAATTGTTTGGCCGCTTGTGTTGGCATGTAATAATTTTTCAAGGTTGTCTGAATTTTGATAATTGAATGTTTAGAATGTTGTGTGGAAGAGCATTTGTACCTCTAAAAGAAATCACTCATAGAACACTCTAGTGAACACTGAATATTTATATACCAATGCTTCTCTCTAAAAAGAATTCTGTCAGAATGATTTGGTTTGATTAGGAAAATATAAACTTGGATCCTTTATCAGAAGCAAATTTTGGTTGTTGATTAACACTAATTCAGGCTTCACTTTGTACTGAGGGCTCCTGGGAAGGGCTTGTGTGTTATAACTACTGCAAGAGTGCTGCTGTTCTTCTGGAGAGCCAAAAGCAGAGCAAATGTGGCCCTTTAGCACTTGTAGTCTATCTCCAAATAAAAACACCTGGTAAGAGTCAGCTTCACCTAGAGAGGGGTTGTACAGCTCCAGGAGGGAAGACTGAGAGGCCTTGTCCTAACTCCTTCTCCCCTCCCCCAGGGCTCCATGAAGAAGGAGTTCCCACAGAATTTGGGGGGCAGCGACACGTGCTATTTCTGCCAGAAGCGGGTCTATGTGATGGAGAGACTGAGTGCTGAGGGCAAGTTCTTCCACCGGAGCTGCTTTAAATGCGACTACTGTGCCACCACCCTGCGCCTCTCAGCCTATGCCTATGACATTGAGGATGGTGAGTCAGTCTGCACCTTAGCCTATACCTAGAAACTGAGCTCAAGCACTTTTTTGTCTATTTGAGCTGAGAACCTTAGGTCCTTTGTTGCTACATTCTTCTGTGTGCTTTTGTTATAGCTCTACTAACCCTTCCCACCTCTCCCCCTCCATTATTTCCTTTTTTCTCTGAAACTATTTCTTATAAATATTTTTTCTGAAGTCACCAGGATGTATCATAGTGTTACCCAGTAATTATGGTAATGAGAATGGCATGCATTTACCCAAATCAGTTCTCTGAGTTTACACTCCCTTGCTTTTTTACCTCATGGTGGGATCTTGAGGTAAAAGGACACAATATGGGGCTGGGACTGTAGCTAAGTGGTAGAGCACTTGCCTCACAGGTGTGAGACCCTGGGTTCAGTCCTCAGCACCACATAAAAATAAATAAGTAAATAAAAAAGATTTTTTTTTAAAAGGACACAATATGGATAAGCCTTGTTGTCTTTCTGGTAGTGGGGTTACAGATATGTAGATATGCTTCTTGCCTATAGTTGATGACTGCAAATAAAAATAGATCCCAGGCCCCTTAATACTCAAGCTTCTGCCCCTGGGAGCTGACTGAAATATGCCTGATATTGCTGTCTCCCTCTGGCATCATCATCTTCTTGCCTCGTGTTTGAGGAATGGACAGCTCATTGCCCAGGGATTTACTGTAGCATTGACTATTTTTACAATGGAAAGACCTTGGCTAGTGGAAGGTATAGAAGTGGGCAAACACTTCACAGAAACTGACAGATATTGGCCACTTGTAATCTGAAGATCCTGAAGGTTAATAGAAATAGGTAAATGTGGCAGTGGCAAGCCCTGCATCCATTCCTATAGGAACGGAAGGAACTTTGTGGGAGACAGTTTTACTGGTTCAAAATTACCAAAGAGCCTGGCACAGTGGCACATGCTTATAATCCCAGCAACTTAGGAGGCTAAGGCAGGAGGATTGTGAATTCAAAGAGCCTCAGCAAAAGTGAGGTGCTAAGCAAAATAGGACTGGGGATATGGCTCGGTGGTCTGAGTTCAATCCCCGGTACCCCAAAAGAAAATTACCAAAGAGTCCTAGATTACTGGAATTCATGGGTTGGCATTAAATCTATTACATGATAGGTGATTTATTGATTGAAAATATTGCAAGGTAATGTTATACAGAGGGGCCAATGCAATTAGGACGGTCTCCAGTTACCTAGGTTTTTCTAATAATGAATAAATAGGCCACTGTGCCAAAAGGAGCAAGAAAGGATCCCAAAGTAGTGAATTAAGAAAGGCTAACTGCTCAGTGGTACAACACTTGCCTAGCATGTGAAAGGCCCTGGGTTCAATCCCCAGCACCACCAAAAAAAAAAAAAAAAGGTGGTGGGGGGGAGAAGAAAGGTTAACTCTCTTTTATTATCATGGCACCTTCTACTCTTAACTGTGTTAGTAAAGAGCACTATCCAAACAAAATTAAATTAAAAAAAAAAGCATTAGCATTATTCAAGCTGGATGCAATGACACATGCCTATAATCCCATCAGCTCAGGAGGCTGAGACAGGAGGATTACAAATTCAGAGGCTGCCTCAGCAACTTAGTGAAGCCCTAAGCAACTTAGTGAGACCCTATCACAAAATAAATTATAAAAAGGACTGGGGGTGCTGGGGCTGGGGCTTAGCTGTAGCCTACTTGCCTGGCATGTGTGAGGCACTGGGTTCGATTCTCAGCAATACAGACCTTTATTAAAGGTCTGTCAACAACTAAAAAATAAAAAGTAAAGAGCTCTATCCAATTAGGAAAGAATTAAGATAGTTACTCAGGTAAGGAAAATAAATTTCATTATTTCTGTTCTACTTTTCCCACACCCCTGCTCTGGGTAATACCTTTGATTCCAAAGATGATGGTTGGCAGATGGAGCCCACCCAACATCTTGTAACTGTCCTTAGGTTGTTTAGTTATTTTTTACCTTGGGAGATCCCTCAGGATCCAGCCAGTTGGTCCATAGATTATTTTGGCTGTGGATATGTGCTCATCTTTGCTGCATTCTCTTGAGGATACAGATAAAGTCTAAATGTGCCTCCAGTGGCTTAAATTCTGTTTTAGTCAGTTTTCCAATTCCTGATATAGTCAATTTATTTTAAAAAATTATTTTGGCTCACAGTTTTGAAGGTTCCAGTTCATGACCAATTGACCCTGTGACAACACATTAGAGAAGGAACTGGGGGTCCACAATCCCTTCTTGGGGACACCCCCCACCAATGATCTAACAACCTTCCACAAGGCTCCACTTCTTTAAAGGTTCCATTACCTGCCAATAGCATTACCCTGGGAATCAAGTCTCTAACAACATGGGCCTTTGGAAGGACATTCAAGATCTAAATAGTAGCACATTCTGAGGGGACTGATGAGACAAGACATAGGAAGCAAAGTTTACAGTTGTAAAAAGGGTGTAGTTAAGGGCCAGGTCACATAGTGAATAGTATAACTTAAGTTCAGTGCAGGAGGAAATCGATCATGTTCAACAGCAGTTTGGAATGACTTAACCAACCTTCAGAAATGCATGTGAGAAATGAAAATTGGCTAGCAGAGGGGGGAGATGACTTTGCAGGCAAAAGGATAAGTGCCCTGATCCAGTGGCCATTAGCTGGCACAGGATGAAGCTAGCCTGCCAAGACATTATTCTAGACAGCCACAAGAGAGGACAGTGAGTCTACACCAGCTCACCAAATCTTAACCCAGATAGAATTTTCATCAAATTAGCCCCTTCAAAGGATTTCTTCTCTTCTGTCAGGGGACAGGCAGACTAGAAAATGGAATTAAATTTTAGGGGCATACTAAAGTATTAGCCTATTCTACACACAGGTTATTAAATGAAGAATCTAACTGAGGTAAGAGAAATTATAACTCTGGAGAAAAGAAATAACCCAGGAATTGTGCCAGGTCCTTTAACACATAGCACATCATTTCATTCTCACAACAACCTTATGAGGTAGCTATTTTTTAGTTGTAATTTGCCAGTTGGAAAGCAAGTTTAGAGAAGTTATAAGTTGCTTATCCAATTTTATGCAGCTAATAAGAATTGGTTTGTACTAAATGACCTCTGAGATCCATTCCAGAGCAGGCCCTTCATTAACTCCAAACTGATGAATCGAGATTCATGTACTTAAAAGAGATGTCTGTGATTTGCCCTTGTTGCTGTTGAATCTGCCCTTCAACTCTTTAAAGGAAACGGTCTGTCCCAAACCAAACTACTCTTTTCCTTGCCAAATGCTAGCTTGTTTTTATTTGCTGTCAACTCTTAAGACTCTAAATTAGATAGTATCTTGAGTTGTTCCATATCATCTTAAGGAGAGAAAACAGACTCCCAAGGGGTCTTATGAAGTCTCCAGGCCAGCCACTGCATCTTCTGCCCAGACCACTGCTTTCCCTGCCTCCACAATTGCCCCTTTAGTCTGCTTCCATAGAGCAACCCAAGGGATCTTCAAAAGGTGTTAGTCAGATCTTACCAATCTTTTCTTACTTTATTACCCACTCTAGTACAAATAGAATGTGCAGTCTTTTCCAGGGTGAGAGAGCTTAGCATGTGTATCCTAGCCATCAGCTGTTACCTGACCCCAGTTCATTGTACCCCTCTCATAGTGGTCTTTTTCCCATTCTGTAAATGTGATAAAACTATTACTGTCTTGGGCCTATGCCTTGTCTTCTCTGGAATAATGCCCCCACCCCCCGCCCCCGAGTCTTTGCTGGGTGGCTTCATGGCCTTGCCATTTCCACATGTCCCCTCCTCAAAGGCCTTCCCAGACCTCTAGCCACTCAGGTTCTGTCATACCCCATTTGGTGTCTCCACTACTGCCTCATTTTCATTCACACACCATCTGCCCCATCCAGAGAACTTGTCTGGAGGTTCTTCAGTATTTAGATTGTACTTCTTACTTAAGGACACTCAATAAGTTGTTGAGCAAATGGATAAATGACCCTTATTCCCTTTTCTAGGCACTTACCTGTTTATCAGGATTGCTTAATTTAGGTTATCTGTAAAAACCTTAATTTGTAGCTGATTTATAACATTAGCCTGGTTGTCTTTACTAATTGAGACAGACATCATAGCATAGTGGCTAAAAGTACAGGCTCTGGAGCCAGCTTCAAAGTGGGACGCTTTGGGCAGATTGCTCAGCATTTCTGTGCCTTAGCTGGGAAAAGGTGGATAATAATGATACCTACCTCACTGGGTTGAGGATTAAATGACTCAATAAATGTAAAGCAGTTAAAATAGTGTCTGACTCATGGTAAATGTTAGATAAGAATTACTCTTGGGCTGGGGATGTGGCTCAAGCTGTAGCGCGCTCGCCTGGCATGCCTGCGACCCGGGTTCGATCCTCAGCACCACATACCAACAAAGATGTTGTGTCCACCGAGAACTAATAAATAAATAAATATTTTWAAAAAAAGATTTTAAAAAAGAATTACTCTTATTAATCTAAAAAGCAAAAAGTGCTATTAAGGTTTGGAAAAGGGTTTAAGAAGATATATTAATTGAGCACCTGAAACTCATAACATCTGATATCTTAATAATCTGATGTCTTTATATCAGATTATTAAGATTATTATGAGATGAGTGTAATGTTTATTTCATATATGAAGAGGTAGTTGTAACAGGCTAAATATATACAACCACTGAGTGTTTGATACAGTATTTGAGCTGAGATCTGATTTCAGAGCTCATACTTTTCACGTAAAGTACTATCTTCCTAGAGAAAAGAGTTTCCTGGAATTTTCTTGGAAATTGCCTTTTGTTTTGGTTTTTGAGATTCATTTCTGAAACTTAAACTTCTTTATTAATTGAGAATACCAGAGAAGGGTTCCATGAAGATTCAGTCGAGTTCCATTGAGTTGTATTTTAAGATCTAGATTTCTACTTTAATGCAAAAGAATAATAATTTTAAAACAAAATTAACATAAGAAAAAATAGAAGACAAATTAAAATAACAATAATTGGCTATGGTTTTCTCATACTATAATAAACAAGACTCTTGGTTACAAGTAATAGAAAACCAAGTCAGATTCAAATATAAGTTTTAAATTTATGTCTTCCTTCCAGATAACAGCACCAGAGAAGGGCTGCCTGTTCTTCACCTATTTGCCAATTATGGTCCTAGTTACCCTGCCTTTAGTCACACACCAATTTCAGGGGTTTATATCCTGAGGAGGATGGTGGGAGGTAGTATTCTGGTTGACCAACCTGATTACATTTCTACTTCTATAGAGGGTAATGTCAGGCCACATGATTGATAGAGTCTATCAGAATTACATGGAGATGGGAAAGGTATTTCTTACAGAAGGATATTTTTAAAAAACCAAATAAGTTGCATATGAACCAAGTACTAATACACTTTATCCTGTCCTTTTTATTGGTGACCAAAACTCACAAAAACAATATTGCACTGGATAGTGGATGATGAAGGAGGTAAAACCTATGGCTGTAGGAGAGGGAAGGGGCAAAAGTGGACCTGTCAGAGTGAATGCCAGTGCTGCCCCAGCTCCTGCAGCCTTTACGCCTCCACCCAGCACTTGCATTCATCCTAGCTTTCCCCAGAAATGCTACTCCCAGCTTTCATGTGACCACATCTTTGTTCTTTATACACTGCCACTTTGTTAGCTGGCCCTGCCATGCAAGCCTCACATCTTTGCTAAGGGCACTGATTGGGTAATGGCTCAATGACCTTCACATACCCAAAGAGAAGGTCCCACCCACTTCAGGCACAGGGGAGAGGAGGGCTGGAATCAAAGTTTAAAGGGAGGGATTGGCTTCCCTGAGCAAGAAAGCTGGGCCTGTGAAAGGGTGGGATGGTGGTGACAACATCCTGTGGCTGAAGGAGATGGACAGGAGTGTGCCAAGACCAGTGAGTCAAGTTCAGAACTACAGAGTTTTGCTTACTCGCTTTTCCCCTTCTTCTTGATGTCTACAGGTAAATTCTACTGTAAACCACACTACTGTTATCGACTCTCTGGCTACGCACAAAGGAAGAGGCCAGCTGTGGCTCCTCTGTCTGGAAAGGTAATGACAATCCTTCCTATAAGTGGGAGAAAAGCAGTGGGTGGCACACCAGTTTAATTGTGGATCAGGGTTGGGACAGATGGGCTTGCTGGATGGTCATTGGAACATTGCCTGTCCCATGAGGGCCCAAGACGTGGTGGTTGCATTCAATTTGGGGAGGGAAGCAGCCTTTCAGTCTGATGTTGTACTTTGCTAAGTAATGTCATATCCACCACCTGAGCTGAACTGAGGAATTATACTGATCCTCTCTTCTATTCACTCTGCCTTTGTAAGTAAGCCTCTTTTTGAAAGGAGAATGCCCTGCAGCTGAGAATGAAGTCCTATTCCTTTTTCACATAGTTAGAACTCTCATCAAGAGAGGCAGTAGTGAGAGAAGAGGCATCCTAAGGAAGAGTTTCTTCCATTTCTTTAGCTCCTGCCTTAGGGCATCTAAGAGCAAATGGGAGCTACAACAATCCCTGTTCTTCATGCTAGAAGGAACTTGACTGCAACATGCTCTGCCTGCTAACTTCTTTAATATCCTTGTTCTGCAAGTTACTTGTCTAAGTTCACTCGTTCGTTCGTTCTTTCTTTCTTCCTTTCTTTCTTAGCATGGTCCCTCTGCTTTTCTTTGTCAAGGTGACCTGAGTAATCCCTCCACTGCATGGACAGCACCTTGTCAGTATGCAGGCTGATTACTGCTGCTTTGAGAGGCTTCTTTTGACTACAGAGGGACTGGTGGGAAAAGGTATACAGTTGGCCCTCTGTGTCCACAGGTTTCACATCTGTGGATTTAACCAACCATGGATGGAAAATAAAAGGAAAAAGATTGCTTCTATACCAAACACAAACAGACTTTTTTCTTGTACTAATCCCTAAACAGTACAGTGTAACAGCTGTTCCTATAGCATTTACATTGTATTAAGTATTATAAATCATCTAGAGATGATTTAAAGTACATGGGAGATTATGTAAGTTATGTGCAAATACAATGCCATTTTAAGGGACTTGATTATCCACAGATTTTGGTATCCGAGAGGGTCCTGGAACCAGTCCAGCACACCAATGGATGACTTGGGTGGTTAGAGACTTTGACTTCTAGTGACTTCTATGTGAATATGTCCTTGTTTCTTTAAAGAAAGACTGTGAGGTATATAAATCTTGGTTGACAAGAGATAGACAAACCAATCAGATTGTCATTACCTCCTGAGATTTGAGGGCTTCAGTCAGAGTCACTCTTCTTTTTCTTATGGACTCTCCCAGGAGGCCAGAGGACCCCTGCAGGATGGCCCCACTGCAGACACAAGTGGACGGGCCAGTACCATCACCAGCTCGGCTGAGAGAACTCCAGGTAGCCTCACTTCCTTGTTTGGCTGGGTGGCGCGTCACTCTCTCGGCCTCTGTGACAAGGCCAAGGGGATGAGCCAGCACCTCCAAAAGAACATTTCTTCATTTGGGCATCAAGTGGCCCAAAACCCTTTGGACTCCTTTTTCATGTGCCAGCTACTTGCATTTGGAGTCCCCTTTCTGTATGGCCTGTCAGAGGTGCTGGTACAAATCGGAGGGGAGTTTCACTGGCAGGCTGTGAGCTACTAAGTGTGCCATGTGGTAAGCAGTATCATCCAAGTGTGGGTAATGTTTATTCGGAGTCTCAGTATGGACACGGTAGCCCATCCTACATCCCTCAGACAGATCAGGGTGCAGACCCTCTGAAGGTAAACTGGAGTCTAGAAGAAGCTGCTGTGGTCAGCGACCCAGGTGAGAAGCCAAAGTTGCCAGACCTCCTTATAGTTTTCATTCAGGACTCCTTTGACAGAGCGTCGAGTTGTATAATTCAGCCCTGTTGTTTGTGTTCACCAGAACTTGAAATTTTTACATCTCATTTCCTAGTTAGGCATCTGGATAAGCTATCACTGTTCTCCTATTTGACCTGTAACCATTACAGGACATAAACTACCCTAAGAACTTTGGGGCTTTTGAGTTTGCAGTGAGGTTGAAAACCTGTCTGTCACACTTTCATTACTACTTCCTATGTCAGGACCTGAACAGCACCATTCTACCTCTAAAAACATTCTTGTTTTGGTCATCACAGAGTAGCACTGGGAGGACTCAGGGCACCCAGCCTGTGGAGTAGAATTATTTTGCTTTTTTCCTTAAAATTGCCCCTCTAAGCCCCTTGTAAAACTAGCCTGTGAGATATATCCACAGTTCTGCAAACTGCTGGGAAGTCCCAAGGCTCCAAATTGTGAACTTCCTCCCATTCACAGCAAATATATCTCAAGCAACCATTAACAAACTCATGAAAATTAAAAAGTTATTGGCCAATGCCAGAAATCATGGAGAAGGAATAGGTAGTAGAATTTTCATGATGAAAAAAGTTATTCTTTTGGCCTTTCGATGAAAGGTACCCAGAGTTGCTTTTTTCCCATGCTAAGAAACTATTATGAGCCTTGGGGTGCTCATTCTGGGCAAGGGGGACATGCCCAGAGACTGGACACAAACCCTTGGGGGCAGTTTTGAACTTAAAACAAGGCACACTCCTGCAAAACCAGCTCACTCTGCTCCTGCATGTATCTTCATCATATTCAGAAGAGTATGTTAAGTGCTCTACAGGTAGGACCAACATTTGAAAGCCATGTTTAAGCCAGAAAGGATTTTTAAGCCTTGTACAATCGTCAGAGCCTTTGTGATCTTTCTCATGAAATATAACAGCACTGTGCAATTTATATGTTCTGAGCATGGGAGGTATTGCTGGCAGAGAAGAGTGATAGGGATCCAGATAACTGACTCTTCACTAGGATGTGCATTTAATCAGGTGGCAGCTCAACCTCATTAGTCTAGACCTTACTCCAGCAAAGATGGATTTTCAAAGGAACCCAACTACTCAGTAAAGCAACCCAGATTAAATCCCCCCCCCCCTCTTGGGTAAGGTATACAAACATTTCTTATAAAGAATGATAAGGTTTAGGTCATTCCTGAACAGGTTGGGTTTGCCTGCTTTTCCATCTAGTTCTGGTTCCCTTTCTGACTAATTGAAGGCATAACAGATTTCAGATTTTTAGAAATTCTAAAGAAGTAAGGGTTCCACAGAGGAGAGAATGTTCTACAAAACAGGGAAAGAAGATAAGAGTTGGCAGTGCAGTTAAAGAATCAAAACAATCAAGAAAGAATCAGAGCCTGAGAACATCTCAGGCCCCATGGTTCTTGATTCTGAGGTAGATCATGGGAGGTAACCTATTATGGCATAGTTGGAAGATGTATCTGGAAGGTACCTCAGCCTGAACCCCTAAGGTGAGGAAGTCAGGCACTGTCACCTCCCCCACCATTTAAAGTATTCTCTAGGCAAAAAGAAGGACAGAGAGCTTAGGGCTAATGGGTTTCCTTGATATCTGCCTGTGGAGACTCAAGCTTTTGGAAGTTAGACCTCTGAGTCCCGAATATGCTCCAAAGCATAGTTGCTTTCCTTGTGAGCTAACTTGTGCTAGTCTCTGTAGAAAAGAATTATGGCTGGTATTTGTAGTTGCCATGAAATAGATTTTTTTTTCTCTTCTTTTATATATATTTCTTTCTTTAAATCCCAAACCAAAGCTTTGATTATTTAATAAGAATTTCTTTCAGAAAAGCTCAGGTGTTTCAGCATTCCAGAATGTGTATCATAGAGAACCTAGAACCTGAGTACACCTCCTCCACTGAACTCTAGACCAGAAAAGGCTGTGAGTGAATGAGGCTGATTCTGTTGTGTGACTAAGCCATCCTCCCTAGAACCACATGCCCCCGAAACTTACAAATGGAAAAACTAGACTAACAGTCAGCTAGTCAGTATTTGACCCTGCCATGCTTTTGCTTTGTGCCTCCTCTCTATTGTGGCATTTCTGTCTTCTCACTTGTGTTCTTTCCCCTTGTGCCAAAATAACTGCTGTTGCCAAAAAAAAAAAAAAAAAAAAAAAAAAGAATAAAACAAAATGCAATATAACCCACCAGTTAAAAGAATGCACTACAGGGGTGGTTTTAAGTGCTGTCTTTCTCTGGTACACTAATATGTAACTGCTAGTATAATTTAGTGTGTTGAGGACATCGTTTACAGTATTTTTGTTTGTCATGTGTTTTAATATAGAAATTCTAGTTCTGTTTTCAAACCTATAAATGCTACTTTTCCAAGCTTCTTAGACTTACTGCTACAGATAGTGGACCTGGCACAGATTTTCTTACTCTGGCCTCATGGTACCTGCACGTCTTTAGAAAAATTTGGACAACAGCAGGCAAAGAAAGAAAAACCTCTAATGGGATTCTTTTCCCCTGGGACATGAGACCCTCGGTTGCAGTTGTTTTGGATTCTTTTTATCTAGAGGAATTTCCTTTTTACCTTCTATCATGAATAACCAAAAATGAAGCTGGGGATTGTGTAGTAACAAAGGAAGAAAAGAAATGAACTTTTCTCCCAGAATTAATCATCTGAGAATACATGCAGTGCAGACAGCAGAGAACAGGTGTGAGAAGCATGCCAGTTGTCTGTCGATTTGTGAAGATTGTTTTAATAAAGAAGTTGCAAGGTTACTATTGGCAGTCTCCTGCTCCCTGTCCCCAGACACCTCTCGTGTGATAACCTTTGGATTCCATAGTTTAGATCCAGATGGGCCATTAAGAATTGCAGGCATTGGCAGAATAGCCAAGCAGTACAGGGAATTCATTCAATTCTGGGTTTCCTGCCTGGCAGAGGGAAGTTAGGAAATCTTACTGTTTACCATGTCCTCTTCCCTTAGGCATTTTTGGAAAACCAAGTAGAAAGAATTCTGTAATCTAGCCTTCTTCCTTAATCCTGTCCCAAAAGTCATAGTTGAGTTGATGGTAATTTATGAATGTTTTATATATATCTACATACATATATATATACATATATGTATATGTAAGGTTCCAATTCATATATGTGGATAAATATTTATTTATATATTGTGCCCTAAATAATAATAGTGATAATGAAGCTATTCCTAAAGCTTCCCTTTCCTTGGTTCTKGAAAGGGAGCTTTTACACTGGGAATCTTGCCTCTGGTTGGGATTTTGAGGAACCACAGAAGACCAAAAACAGCATACCATATGGAAGTGGAGATTTGGGAAACTGGGTACCTCAAAAAAATGAGCAGCATTACACACACACACCCATCTCATATAATTGATTCAGGAGCAACAAAGAACCAAATGCCCCACCTTCCCTCTGTTTTACTTTCGGGCTTGTGTATTGGCTCCACTAGGTTAGTTATTTCCACTTTCTACTGCCTTTTGGAGTTTGCTGTGTGTCTGGCTGTTTCCTGCAAAACAGTGGAACATTCTTGGGTACTCCTAAAAGAGGCCCCCAGGTCCTTGCAGGGCTGGCCAATGAGTTAAGAGGTTTACTCCCCTTCCCCCATTCACTTGGGGTAGAGACAGCAAGCAGAATTCCCTTGGCAATGGTACAAAGACGCCAGAGCAAGGTAGAGTTAGCTGTGCCAAGGAACATGTCACCTGTCCACTCTGACTTTCCCTAAACCCTTTATTTTTGCCCTTGTTTTTAATCTGTGCTGTTGTGAGTTTTTGGTGTGTTTCTTTGTGAGTTTTTAATTTAATTGTGTAACTTTGCTTTTGCCGTTACTGTGAAATCAAGGTGTTGTGCTTTTAAGTTTTTTTTTTTTAAAAAAACAAATGTTACGTTCTTATTTAAGAGAATAAATTCCAAACAATCTTCAGGTTTCTGAGTTTTTCTTTTCCTTCCCTTTTTCCTGATGGGAGGGTGGGGACGGGTGATGTTCAGGCAGGTCTCCAGAATGAGCTCAAAAGCTACTGTGCAAAGGACTCTGGCTTCTGCCTGGGTCAGTGAGAGTGCAGGGGGCCTGTGTTGTCTAACATATGAACCACTAACCAAAGGGCTGTCTCTGCTCAGGAGGCTGGCATGGTACAAGATGTTTTGCTTTGCAGCAGATGTGAGTAAACAAGTACAAGAAAAGTGTCACTTGGGCCCACGTGTCCCCTATTCACCAGCCACCATGAGAAACCCATGGGCCAAGCAAATGGAGGGCTAGAACTCCCACACAGAGCCTGAATCCACCATGGCATTCCTCCTCTGTTTCTAACTGTAGCAGGCCCCTGAGGGGAACCAGGACCAGTTAGATATCTCCCTCCACCCACCTTGAGGCTCTCACTAGGGGTATCCTCAAGTGTAGTGACTATGCTCCTAGTGATGCTGAAAGTTCCTGCTATTTCCTGCCAACTGTCATCTCTCACACACTATCTGCTCAGACCTGATTGCTGTTAGAATATCCAGTTCTGTTTGGTTCCTCTTAAGCCTGGAAAGAGAAGAAACAGACTGTCCCCTTCTGCTGA